CTCACTGCCTTGTGTTTTGTGGCACCACTGCCTGATGGTTCCTGATGGTGTCCCTGTCTTGGCCTCCCAAAGTGCTGGGCTTACCGGTATGAGCCACCATGTCTGACAACCAGTCAGCTGTATTTTGATGGGATGTAGGGTTTTTTTTGTTTTTTTTTTGAGACGGAGTTTCACTCTTGTTACCCAGGCTGGAGTGCAATGGCACCATCTCAGGCTCACCGCAACCTCCGCCTCCTGGGTTCAGGCAATTCTCCTGCCTCAGCCTCCTGAGTAGCTGGGATTACAGGCACGTGCCACCATGCCCAGCTAATTTTTTGTATTTTTAGTAGAGACGGGGTTTCACCATGTTGACCAGGATGGTCTCGATCTCTTGACCTTGTGATCCACCCGCCTCGGCCTCCCAAAGTGCTGGGATTACAGGCTTGAGCCACTGCGCCCGGCGATGGGATGTAGTTTTGTGATAGAAATAAAACCATGAGCTGGGTGCAGTGGCTCCTGTGTGTAATCCCAGCGTTTTGGGAGGCTGAGGCAGGAGGATTGCTTGAGCCCAGGAGTTTAGAGATCAGCCTGGATAACATAATGAGACCGTATCTCTACAAAAAACAAAAAAATTGATGGGCCGTGGTGGCTTCTGCCTATAATCCCAACTGTTTGGGAGGCCAAGGCGAGTGGATCACCTGAGGTCAGGAGTTTAAGACCAACCTGGCCCACATGGTGAAACCCCATCGCTACTAAAAATACAAAAAAAATTAGCTGGGCCTGATGGTGTGTGCCTGTTATCCCAGCTATTCAGGAGGCTGAGGCAGGAGAATTGCTTGAACCTGGGAGGTGATTCTCCTGCCTCAGCCTCCTGCAGTGAGCCAAGATTTCGCCATTACACTCTAGCCTGGGCAACAGAGCAAGACTGCTTGTGAGCTGAGGTGAGAGGTCACTTGAACCCAGGAAGCTGAGGCCCTAGTGAGCCAGGATTGCACCATTGTGCTTTATCCTGTGCTGCAGAGCATGACTCCATAAAAATACTCAGGCAAATATGACCTGCAATTTTTTTTTTTTTTTTTTTTTTGAGAAGGAACCTTGCTGTGTCACCCAGGCTGGAGTATAGTGGCACGATCTTGGCTTACTGCGATTGTCTTCCCTCAGCCTCCCCAGTAGTTGGGATTGCAGGCGTGTGCCACCATGCCCAGCTAATTTTTGTATTTTCAGTAGAGACAGGGTTTCACCATGTTGGCCAGGGGTCTCCTGATCTTGTCATCTGCCCGCCTGCCTTGGTCTCCCAAAGTGCTGGGATTACAGGTGTGAGTTGCACCCAGCCCAACCTATAATTCTTTAGGAAGATGTATATTCAAGCAAGTGCCTTTTTAAAAAAACAAAAAAAAAAAACCCAACACAGGATCTTACTCTGTCACCCAGGCTGGAGTGCAGTGCCACAATTATGGCTCATTGCAATCCCTAGCTTTCAGGCTTAGGTAATCCTCCCACCTCAGCCTCCTGAATAGCTGGGACTACAGATGCATGCCACCAAGCCCAGCTAATAATTTGGTTTGTGTTTGTTTGTTTGTTTTTGAGATGGAGTCTCATTCTGTCGTCCAGGCTGGAGTTTAACAGCTCGATCTCAGCTCACTGCAGCTTCCACCTGCCCGGTTCAAGTAATTCTCATGTGTCAGCCTCCCGAATAGCTGGGACTACAGGTGCCTGCCACCACGCCTGGCTAATTTTTGTATTTTTAGTAGAGACAGAGTTTCACCTTGTTGGTCTGGGTAGTCTCGAACTCCTGACCTCAGATGATCCACTGGCCTCAGCCTCCCAAAGTGCTGGGAAAACAGGAGTGAGCCACAGCGCCCAGCCCCAATTTGTTTTTTTTTTTTTTTTTTTTTTTTTGAGACAGAGTTTCGCCCTTGTTACCCAGGCTGGAGTGCAATGGCACGATCTCGGCTCACCGCAACCTCCGCCTCCTGGGCTCAGGCAATTCTCCTGCCTCAGCCTCCTGAGTAGCTGGGATTACAGGCACGTGCCACCATGCCCAGCTAATTTTTTGCACTTTTAGTAGAGACGGGGTTTCACCATGTTGACCAGGATGGTCTCGATCTCTCGACGTCGTGATCCACCCGCCTCGGCCTCCCAAAGTGCTGGGATTACAGGCTTGAGCCACCGCGCCCGGCACCAATTTGTATTTTTTGTAGAGATGGAGCTTCACCATGTTGCCCAGGCTGATCTTGCACTCCTGTGCTCAAGTGATCCTCCCGCCTCACCCTCTCAAAGTGCTGGAATTACAGGCATGAGCCACCACATAGGGCCCATGTGTTTCTTTTTTTTTTAGATGGAGTTTTGCTCTTGTTGCCCAGGCTGGAGTGTAACAGCACAATCCTGGCTCACTGTAACCTCTACCTCCCAGGTTCAAGCGATTCTCCTGCCTCAGTGTCCCAAGTAGCGGGATTACAGGCATGCACCACCATGCCTGGCTAATTGTGTATTTTTAGTAAAGATAGGGTTTCCCTATATTGGTCAGTCTGGTCTTGAATTCCCAACCACAGGTGGCCTGCCTATCTTGGCCTCCCAAAGTGCTGGGATTACAGGCGTGAGCCACCGTGCCCAGCCTTCCGAATGCTATTTTAACTAGCAGTTTCACAGGAACTCTGTGAAGTACTTAGAGCATGTGCTTTGGAGTTCGGAGTCCTACACCTGTGGCTAACTTGCTGTGCAGCCCTGAGCTAAGATATTTTACTTTTCTAATTTTGTTTATTTTTCTTTTGTTCTTCTGTTTTCTTGCTTTTTTTTTTTTTTTTTTTTTTTTGAGACGGAGTTTCACTCTTACTACCCAGGCTAGAGTGCAATGGCGCGCTCTCAGCTCATCGCAACCTCTGCCTTCTAGGTTCAGGCAATTCTCCTGCCTCAGCCTCCTGAGTAGCTAGGATTACAGGCACGGGCCACCATGCCCAGCTAATTTTTTTGTATTTTTAGTAGAGATGGGGTTTCACCATGTTGACCAGGATGGTCTCGATCTCTTGACCTCGTGATCCACCCGCCTCGGCCTCCCAAAGTGCTGGGATTACAGGCTTGAGCCAGCGTGCCCGGCCTTGTTTTGTTTTTAAGAATCCTAGCCTCAGTAGCTAGAACTATAGGCCCATCCCACCATGCCCAGCTTTTTTTTTTTTTTTTTCTGTAGTGATGTGGTCTTGCTTTTTTTTTTTTCTGGAGACAGAGTTTCACTCTTGTTACCCAGGCTGGACTGCAATGGCGCGATCTTGGCTCACCACAACCTCTGCCTCCTGGGTTCAGGCAATTCTCCTACCTCAGCCACCTGAGTAGCTGGGATTACAGGCACGTGCCACCATGCCCAGCTAATTTTTTGTATTTTTAGTAGAGACGGGGTTTCACCATGTTGACCAGGATGGTCTCGATCTCTTGACCTCGTGATCCACCCACCTCGGCCTCCCAAAGTGCTGGGATTACAGGCGTGTGAGCACCCGCGCCCGGCTGATGTGGTCTTGCTTTAATGCCCAGGCTGATCTTGGCCTCTGGCCATCCTCCCACATTGCCTCCCAAAGTGCTGGGACTACAGGTGTGAGTTGCACGCTTGGCCCTGAGCCTCATTTTCATTACTTGAAATATGAAAGAAATTAACACATTAAAGTGTTGCTAGGATTAAAATGAGGTCGCTTCTATATTCCGTGCCTAGTAGAGGCCCTTCTTATAGCAAAACTTCCATTTACATTTTGCAGGAGTCTGGAGAAATGGGTCCAGACAGAATGAATAGGTGCTGTTTGCTGTACTTACATTATCATTTATAAAATACTACTGCTGGTCATTCTGGAAAGATGATCCCAACTGCGGGTATCCTGTTCATCATTAACTTGTGTGTCCCAAATAATCTTTTGAAAAGTTGCTAAATAGTGAATATTTACTATTTTATGAGAGCCTGCCAGTGGAATTGTTCCACGTCAAGGATTCATCTGTTCAGTCATTTGGAAAATATTCTTTATGTATAGCAGTGTTGGGTACTGCAGGAGATTTTTTAAAAAGTACCACTCAGTCCTTACCTTCAAGGAATTTAGTTTAGTTGTGGGAAATAAGCTGTACCCATGAGAATGGCTAAGAGGAGAGGGAGTTGGGCTCCCTGCAGGTGCGGGGAGAGTCAGTTCTCATTTCTGAGGGAGAGGAGCTGATGTTACCAGTTCTGAAAGGAACCAGAAGTTCCACCCAGTGGTTTTGCAATAGAGTGTGCTTGTGTTTACCAAGCAATTTTGAGGGAAAGGTAAAAAAAAATGTTAGTTTAGCAACTCCATGGAACTAACAGGTTGCGTTGAGCTTTGAGTAAATTTATTTTTTATTTATTTTTATTTTTTTTGAGATGGAGTTTTGCTCTTGTTACCCAGGCTGGAGTGCAATGGCACGATTTCAGCTCACCACAACCTCCGCCTCCTGAGTTCAAGCAATTCTCCTACCTCAGCCTCCCGAGTAGCTAGGACTACAGGCGCGCGCCACCATGCCCAGCTAATTTTTGTATTTTTAGTAGAGATGGGGTTTCACCTTGTTGGCCAGGATGGTCTCGATCTCGTGACCTCATGATACACCCGCCTCGGCCTCCCACAGTGCTGGGATTATAGGCATGAGCCACCGCGCCCGGCCTACTTTGAGTAAATTTAATGGTGGCTGGGCGTGGTGGCTCACACCTGTAATCCCAGCATTTTGGGAGCCTGAGGCAGGCAGATCAGAAGTTTGAGGCCAGCCTGACCAACATGGTGAAACTCCGTCTCTGTCTTTATGAAAAATACAAAAATTAGCTGGGTGTAGTGGCGTGCACCTCTGTACACCCAGCTACTCAGAGGCTGAGTGAGGCAGGAGAATTGCTTGAACTCAGGAGGCAGAGGTTGCAGTGAGCCAAGATCACGCCATTGCACTCCAATCCGGATGACAGAGTGCGACTCTGTCTCGAAAAAATAAAAATAAATAAATAAATAAATTTAATGCTGGAAGCTACCAATGTTTTTCCCATTTTTTAGGCAGCTTCAAACCAGTGCAATGGCAATGCCAGTCAATGGGGCCCACAAGGATGCTGACCTGTGGTCCTCACATGACAAGATGCTGGCGCAACCCCTCAAAGACAGTGATGTTGAGGTGAGATTTGTGGGGTCTTTACAGATGTTTTTATGTTGGAGGCCTTCATTTAAATCTCTATTTCTAATTACAAGTTAAACAGGGACAGCTTTGGAATGAGTATCATCCTGCTGGATTTAGAGGTGGTGGCAGACAAAATGGCTACAAATTCTTTGAGGGTAAATTTAAAGATTGCTGGGCTTCTACCAAGTGTGGAGCGCTGTGCGGGGTGCTCTGGAGGAAAGAGAAGAAGAGAGATCACATACAGTTGACCCTTTCCTTACAGTTCACAGGGAATATAGATCCGTCTAGACATCTGGAACCACCTTTATTTGTTTTTTGTTTTTTTCTTGAGACAGAGTGTCACTCTTATTGCCCAGGCTGTGGTGCAATGGCGTGATCTTGGCTGACTGCAGCCTCCGCCTCCCGGGTTCAAGGTATTCTCCAGCTTCAGCCTTCCGAGTAGCTGGGATTACAGGCACCCACCACCATGTCTGGCTAATTTTTGTACTTTTAGTAGAGATGGGGTTTGGCCATGTTGGCCAGGCTGGTCTCGAACTCCTGACCTCAGGTGATATACCCGCCTCAGCCTCCCAAAATGCTGGGATTACAGGCGTGAGCTACCACACCCAGCCTTATTTGTTTTTAATTTTAATTTTATTTATTCATTTATTTATTTTTTTCTTTTTGAGGTAGAGTCTCGCTCTGTCGCCCAGGCTGGAGTGCAGTGGTGTGATCTCAGCTCACTGCAACCTCCACCTCCAGGGTTCAAGAGACTCTCCTGCCTAAGCCTCCTGAGTAGCTGGGATTACAGGTGCATGCCATCACGCCCAGCTAATTTTTGTATTTTTATTAGAGACAGGGTTTCACCATGTTTGCCAGGCTGGTCTTGAACCCCTGACCTCTGGTGATCTGCCTGCCTCAGCCTCCCAAAGTGCTAGGATTACAGGCTTGAGCTACTGTGCCTGTCCTATTTGTTGTTGTTGTTTTTTTTTTTTGAGACGGAGTTTCGCTCTTGTTACCCAGGCTGGAGTGCAATGGCGCGATCTCGGCTCACTGCAACCTCCGCCTCCTGGGTTCAGGCAATTCTCCTGCCTCAGCCTCCTGAGTAGCTGGGATTACAGGCACGTGCCACCATGCCCAGCTAATTTTTTCTATTTTTAGTAGAGACGGGGTTTCACCAGGTTGACCAGGATGGTCTCGATCTCTCGACCTCGTGATCCACCCGCCTCGGCCTCCTAAAGTGCTGGGATTACAGGCTTGAGCCACCGTGCCCGGCCCCTATTTGTTTTTATAAAAGCTTCATTGAGATAACATTCATTTATCATACAATTTAGTGGGTTTTAGAATATTCATAGTACATTTTGAAACATTTTTATCCTCCCCAAAAAGAAACCTTGAACCCATTAGCAGTCACCCCAAGCTCCCCAACCCTGGTCAACCACTTATCTGCTTTCTGTCTCCGTGAATTTGCTGAAACATCTTTTCTTTTCTTTTTTTTGAGACAGGATCGCACACTGTCCCTCAGGCTGGAGTGCAGTGGCGTGATCTTGCCTCAGCTCACTGTTGCCTCCATCCCCTGGGCTCAAGTGATCCTTCCACCTCGGCCTCCTGAGTTGCTGGGACTACAAGCGCATGCCACCACACCTGGCTAATTTTTTGTGGCTTTAGTGGAGATGGGGTTTCACCATGTTGCCCAGGCTGGTCTTGAACTCCTGGGCTCAGGCAATTAACCTGCCTTAGTCTCCTGAAGTGCTGGGATTACAGGTGTGAGCCACCACACCTGGCCTGAAGCATCTTTTAAGGAAGAGGAACGAGGAATAAGGTTTAGGGAGGGAGAAACTTGGTGAAATGTAGGGTTAAAAATAACAAGACTGTGGTGTTAAAACTTAGGTGGGAGACTGAAACACAGTTTTCTCTTAAATTATTTTGTTTTTCTTCATTCATTGTTTAGTGATTTCCCAGATACTAAAACCTTTGAGGAGGATTCGTTCTATTCCCTAATTGTTATGAGAGTCCTCAATGTGGTTATTTGTGTCACGGTCAGCTTCTGAGGGTACAGTATTAATGTGAAAGCGTGTCTTTTCCATTTAGGAGGTTGTAATTTGGATCAGAGCAAAATTTTTAACTAAAATTTCCAAATACCAAGCATATGTTTTCTTCTCATAAGGTTTACAACATCATTAAGAAGGAGAGTAACCGGCAGAGGGTTGGATTGGAGCTGATTGCCTCAGAGAATTTTGCCAGCCGAGCAGTTTTGGAAGCCCTAGGCTCTTGCTTAAATAACAAATACTCTGAGGGGTACCCGGGCCAGAGGTATGTGAATCTTTTCAGAGGCATGATTCTGACACAGCGATAGGGAGTACTGAATCCACCTAGGATCTAAACAATTTGGAAATTTCAGACAACAGCTACTTTCCCAACTGTGGGATTTCTGTTCCACGCCTGCTCTCTGACATAACTGTTTTATTCCCGGCATGTGGTAACACTGAAGAGCTCAGTGCAAGTGTACCCAGGGGCACATTTCACAGTCCTTTGAGGGCTTTCTAGACTAATAGGCCAGTTTGTAAGGAGGACTGAGCCACTGGAGGGCGTGTGGCCTCTGTCTAGAAAAGGTCAGTGTCATCCGAGGGATGTTGTAGAAGATGGCTGTTGTCATGTGAGTCATCCAGTCTGTATTAGAAATAGTGTGGAGGGTGGAGGCTGAATCTGGAATACTGGAAGCTGTTTCTGCATTATAAATGTTGGATTTACACATGCACTGGCTTTCAGTTTCTTTCACCTTCAAAATTACAGTGTTATATTCATTTTTGTTTTTTACAGTCATCTTCAGGCAAATAAAATAAATTACAGAATTAGACATGGTGTTTGCAAATTTGTGCATTTTTGTCCCAAAGGAAACAGAAAGGTCACCCTTGGAGAATGAATTGCCATTCTGTCCTGAGATGCCCCTGAAGCTCTGTATAGGAGACGGAATCAGTCGAAGGCATTGTCGTTCTCCTACTGTGAATAACTTTTGCATTGTGCCTTGAAGAATTCACCAGGTGTTTTCTTTCTTTCATTCTCTCTTTTTCTTTTTTTTTTCTTTTTCTTCTTTCAAATCCAGGCTAAGGTATTTTGTTAACATCAGGTGTTTTATTTCTTTCTTTTTTTGTTGTTTGTTTGTTTTGAGACATGGTCTGTCTTCTGCCTAGGCTGAAGTGCAGTGGTGTGATCAAGGTTCACTGCAGCCTTGGCCTACTGGACTCAAGCCATCCTCCCACCTCAGCCTCCTGAGTAGCTGGGACTATAGGCATACACCACCACACTCAGCCAATTTTTTGTAGAAACGTAATTTCACCATTTTGCCCAGGCTTATCTCCAACTCCTGAGCTCAATCGATCCACCCGCCTCAGCCTCCTAGAGTACTGGGATTAGAGCTGTGAGCCACTGTACCCAGCTCACACCAGGTTTTTTCACAACTAACATTTCATTGGATTCTCACAGCAATGTATTGGGCAAGGGGTGATGTTTTCTACTCTTTTTTTTTTTTTTTTTGAGATGGAGTTTCACTCTTGTTGCCCAGGCTGGAGTGCAATGGCGCGATCTCGGCTCACCGCAACCTCCGCCTCCTAGGTTCATGCAATTCTCTTGCCTCAACCTCCTGAGTAGCTGGGATTACAGGCATGCGCCACCATGCCCAGCTAATTTTGTATTTTTTAGTAGAGATGGGGTTTCACCATGTTGACCAGGATGGTCTCAATCTCTCGACCTCGTGATCCACCCGCCTCGGCCTCCCAAAGTGTTGGGATTACAGGCTTGAGCCACCGTGCCCGGCTCAACCTTTTTTTTCTTGAGACTGGGTCTTGCTCTGTTGCCCAAGCTAGAGTGCAGTAGGACAGTCATAGCTCACCACAGCCTGGAACTGTTGGGTTCGAGTGATCTTCCCACCTTTGGTCCCCAAAGTGCTGGTATTACAGACATGAACCACTCTGCCCAGCCCATTTTAACTATTTTGAAGTGTATAGCTCAGTGACGTCGTGTGTATTCACATTCTTGTGTAACCATCACCACCACCCATCTCCAGAACTTTTTTATCTTGCAGAAATGAAACTGTACCCATTAAATAATAACTTCTGCTAATCAGCATATGAAAACCGCTTGGCTAGGTGCAGTGGCTCATGCCTATAATCCTAGCACTTGGGAGCACTTTGGCCAAATCCTAGCACATTTAAAAATGGCTCCCAGGCCGGGCGCGGTGGCTCACGCCTGTAATCCCAGCACTTTGGGAGGCCGAGGCGGGTGGATCACAAGGTCAAGAGATCGAGACCATCCCGGTCAACATGGTGAAACCCCGTCTCTACTAAAAATACAAAAAATTAGCTGGGCATGGTGGCGCGTGCCTGTAATCCCAGCAACTCAGGAGGCTGAGGCAGGAGAATTGCTTGAACCCAGGAGACGGAGGTTGCGGTGAGCCGAGATCGCGCCATTGCACTCCAGCCTGGGTAACAAGAGCGAAACTCCGTCTCAAAAAAAAAAAAAAAAAAAAAAAATGGCTCCCAAATCCTAGCACTTTGGCCAACACGGAGAAATCTCGTCTCTACTAAAAATACAAAAATTAGCCAGGCATGGGGGCATGCTTGTAGTCCCAGCTACTCAGGAGGCTGAGGCAAGAGAATCTCTCGAACTCAGGAGGTGGAGGCCACAGTGAGTTGAGATCGCACCATTGCACTCCAGCCTGGGCGACAGAGCAAGACTCTGTCTCAAAAAAAAAAAAAAAAAAAAAAAGCTCAACATCTCTAATCAATAGAGAAATGCACATCAAAATGTGATATCACCTCTCTGTTAGGATGGCCAGTATTAAAAAAAAATGCAGGAAATTCTGAGAAGTTGACTCCAAAAGTAAAAATAGACAAGTGGGATTACATCAAACTAAAAACCTTCTTCATAGCAGAGGAAACTCCAGAGTGAAGAGATAACCTACAGAATAGGAAGAAAATATTTGTAAATCATACATCTGATACAGGGTTAATATCCAAAATATATAGGGAACTCAAGAAACTATAGCAAGATGGCCAGATGCAGTAGCTCACGTCTGTAATCCCAGCACTCTGGGAGGCTGAGGCAGGTGGATCACCTGAAGTCAGGAGTTCAAGACCAGACTGGCCAACATGGTGAAACCCCATCTCTACTGAAAATACAAAAATTAGCTGGGGGTGGTGGCAGGTGCCCATAATCCCAGCTATTCGGGAGGCTGAGGCAGGAGAATTACTTGAACCTGGGAGGCAGAGGCTGCAGTGAGCTGAGATCGCACTACTGCACTTGAGCCTGGGCGACAGAGCAAGACTCCATCTCAGAAAAACAAAAACCAAACAAAAAAAACTATAGCAAGAAATCAAATAACTGGCTTATAAAATGGGCAAAGGATCTGCATAGACCTTTCTCAGAAGGCATTCATAGACATATGGATAATGCTCAACATCAGTAGTCATCAGGGAAATGCAAATTAAAAGCACAATGAGATATCACATCACACTTGTGTTGGTGATGATGTAGAGAAAAGGGAACTCTTGTACACCATTGGTGGGAATGTAAATTAATTAGTACAGCCATTATGAGAAACAGTATGGAAGTTCCTCAGAAAATTAATTGAATTGCCATATCATCCTGCAATCCCACTTCTGGGTATATATCCAAAGGAAACGAAGCCAGTATTTCAAAGAGATACCTGCATTCCTGTGTTCAATGCAGCCTTATTCACAGTAGCCAAGATATGGAATCAAACTAAGTGTCCACAGATGGATAAATGGGTAAAGTAAACATGGGGCATATATGTACAATGGAATACTATTCAGCCTTCAAAAAGAAGGAAAATTTGTCATTTTGTGACAACATAGATGAACCTGGAGGACATTGTGCTAAGTGAAATAAGCCAGACACGAAAAGACAAATGGTGCGTGATCTCGCTTATGTGGAATTTTAAAAGTTGAACTCAGAAGCAGAGAGTAGAATGGTGGTTACCAGGTACTGGGGCAGGAGTCGCTGGCAGGGAATTGGGAGATGTGGGTCAGAGGGTACAAAGTTTCAGTTAGACAAGATGAGCAAGTCCTGGAGATCTATTGTGTACATCATGGTGACTATATAATATACTTGAAATTTTCTGAGAACAGATTTTTAAATGTTCTCATATATAAAAATACATATATGAGGGCCAGGCACAGTGGCTTAAGCCTGTAATCCCAGCACTTTGGGAGGCCGAGTGGGCAGACCACTTGAGACCAGGAGCTTGAGACAGGTCTGGTCAACATAGTGAAACACCGTCTCCACTAAAAATACAAAAATTAACTGGGCATCGTGGTGCACACCTGTAATGCCAGCTACTTGGGAGGCTGAGATGGGAAGATTGCTTAAACTCAAGAGGTGGAGATTGCGTGAGCCAAGATTGCACCACTTCACTCCAGCCTGGGCAACAGAGGGAGACTCCATCTCAGAAAAAAAATCATATGACATGATGGATATGTCAATTAGCTTGATTTGATCGTCTCACAGTGTATACATATATTGAAATATCACATTAGGGCCAGGCATGGTGGCGCATGCCTGAATTCCTAGCACTTTGGGAGGCCGAGGTGTGCATATTGTCTTAGCTCAGGAGTTCAAGACCTAACATGGTGAAGCCCCATCTCTACTAAAAATATAAAAAATTAGCCAGGCATTGTGGCATGCACCTGTAGTCTCAGCTGCTTGGGAGGCTGAGACAAGAGAATCACTTGAACCCAGGAGGTGGAGGCTGCAATGAGCTGAGATTGCCCCCAGCATAGGCGATCTCGGCTTACTGCAACCTCTACCTCCCGGGTTCAAGTGATTCTCCTGCCTCAGCCTCCTCTGTAGCTAGGATTACAGGTGTGTACCACCACGCATGGCTAATTTTTGTGTTTTTAATAGAGACAGGGTATCTCCATGTTGGTCAGGCTGGTCTCGAACTCCTGACCTCAGGTGATCTGTCTGCCTCTGCCTCCCAAAGTGCTGGGATTACAGGCATGAGCCACCGCACCTGGCTAGAGTTTCAGAATGAAAAAGTGCTGGAGATCTGTTGTAAAACAATCTGCATATATAGATGATCCCCAATTTATGATACTTATGTGTATGATTTTTTTTTTCAGTTTTTTAGTGGTTCAAAAGCAATATACATTCAATAGAAAACGTACAACCATTCTTCTTTTTACTTTCATTTATTTACTTTTTTTTTTTTTTTTTTTGAGACAGTCTCACTCTGTTGCCCAAGCTGGAGTGCAGTGACACAATCTTGGCTCACTGCAACCTCTACCTGCTGGGTTCAAGCAATTCTCCCTCCTGAGCCTCCTGAGTTGTTGGCATTACAGGCAGTCACCACCACACCCGGCTAATTTTTGTACTTTTAGCAGACACAGGGTTTTGCCATGTTGGCCAGACTGGTCTTAAACTCCTAACCTCAGGTGATCCGCCCACCTGGCCTCCCAAAGTGCTAATATTGCAGCTGTGAGCCACCACACCTGGCCCTATTTTTTTTACTTCCACTACGGTATTAATTACATAAGATATTTAACACTTTTTAAAATAGGCTTTGTGTTAGGTGATTTTCCCAACTGTAGATGAATGTTAAGTGTTCTGAGCACACTTAAGGTAGGCCGGGATGGTGTTCAGTAGGTTACGTGTGTTAAGTGTGTTTCCATCTTAGGATATTTTCAACTTAGGATGAGTATGAGTTTTTTGGGACATAACTCCATTGTAAGTAAGTTAAGTAATACTTACCATTATTGAATTTTGTGTGTAAAAATTGTTAAGGTGGGAAATTTTATGTTTGTTTTTTTTAACTACAATTAAAAAATACATTTACATTTTAATTTTTAAGCTTTTTGTGACAGCCTACAATGGCTCACACCTGTAATCCTAACATTTTGGGAGACTGAGGTAAGGAGTTCGAGACCAGCCTGGACAACATAGGGAGACCCTGTCTCTGCAAAAAAGTGAAATATAGTTGGGTGTGGGCTGGGCAAGGTGGCTCATGCCTGTAATCCCAGCACTTTGGGAGGCTGAGGCCAGCAGATCAGGAGGTCAGGAGATGAAGACCATCTTGGCTAACACGGTGAAACCCTGTCTCTACTAAAATACAAAAAATTAGCCAGGCATGGTGGCATGCACCTATAATTCCAGCTACTTGGGAGGTTGAGGCAGAAGAATCTTCAACCTGGGAGACGGAGGTTGCAGTGAGCTGAGATCATGCCACAGCACTCCAGCCTGGGAGACAGCAAGACTCCATCTCAAAAAAAAAAAAAAGGTTGGGTGTGATACACACGGGTCTGTAGTCCCAACTCCTCAGGAGCCTAGGCAGGAAGTGATCACAGGGTCTAAGAGTTAAAAATTACTGGCTTGGCTGGGCGCAGTGGCTCAAGCCTGTAATCCCAGCACTTTGGGAGGCCGAGGCGGGTGGATCACGAGGTCAAGAGATCGAGACCATCCTGGTCAACATGGTGAAACCCCGTCTCTACTAAAAATAGAAAAAATTAGCTGGGCATGGCGGCGCGTGCCTGTAATCCCAGCTACTCAGGAGGCTGAGGCAGGAGAATTGCCTGAACTCAGGAGGCGGAGGTTGCGGTGAGCCGAGATCGTGCCATTGCACTCCAGCCTGGGTAACAAGAGCGAAACTCCGTCTCAAAAAAAAAAAAAAAATTACTGGCTTGAACCCAGTAATTTTTAGTACTTCAGATATTATCAATATGAGAAATAATAATAGATAATAAAAAGCATAAATATATGATAAACTTTGATACACAATCATTAAATGGAAAATAAAATTTCTTTAGAAATGCAAAAAGTCAAAACCAAACAAACTCTCCAGTCCTTGGTCCCCCATCCCCTGGCAGCCACCATTCTACTTTCTGCCTCTATGAACTTGACTCCTTTAGGGACCTCATAAAAGTTGAATCATACAGGGTTTGTCTTTTGGTGACTGGTTTGTTTCACTTAGTGTAATGTCCTCAGGCTCATCCCTGTTATATTAATAGCATATGATAGGATTTCTTTCCCTTTTTTTTTCCTTTGAAACAGGGTCTCACCCTGGACTATCACCCAGGCTGGAGTGCAGTGGCGTGATCACAGCTCACTGCAGCCTTTACCTCCTGGGCCCAAGTGAATCCTCCCTCCTCAGCCTCTTTAGTAGCTGGGACTATGGGCACACACCACCATACCTGGTGAATTTTTCAAATTTTTTGTAGAGGTGTGGGTATCACTATGTTGCCCAGGCTGGTCTCAAACTCCTGGGCTCAAGCCATGCTCCTGCCTTAGCTGCCCAAAGTGCTGGGATTATAGGTGTGAGCCACCTTGCCCGACCAAAACCCCCTCTTTTTATAGATGAGATACTGCTCCAAGTTGCACAGCTGGTTTTGTCTCCTGAGTCTAGATTCCAAGGGCATTGGTAGAACACGTGATCGTGCTGGCTTCAGCATCTGCATGTTAACAAGCGCTTTTCATTACTTCCCTCCACTTTAGTGTCACTGTCCCACCCCTAAGCTGCTTTGGCCTCTGTGAAGCACAGAGTTTCTGGGTCTGAGTGGATCTAAGTCTTCTGCTCTCCTCCCACAGATACTATGGCGGGACTGAGTTTATTGATGAGCTGGAGACCCTCTGTCAGAAGCGAGCCCTCCAGGCCTATAAGCTGGACCCACAATGCTGGGGGGTCAACGTCCAGCCCTACTCAGGTGATTGTCTGTCTCATCAAGATGGGCTGGTGCAGCCCCTTCATGTGCATTCCCCAGGGCTCACATGCACCAAGAGGAGTCCTAAGAAGGACTACCATAAATTAAAGAGAAGCCAAGCCCTCCTGGGTACATGCATCCCTCTGCATTGCCCTCCCACTCCCAGCTCTGCACCCGCTCCTAGGCAGTGTCCTCTCTCTGAACTTCCCCTCTCAAGGCTGGTGGTGCAGGGGCACCTCCTGGAGCTCAGGGAAGGCACGAAGCCTGTTCCCACCACTCCTGGGTGAAGGCTTAGTGGCCAAGGTCCTGGATGCCACTTGGTCCCTAGGTTAGAAATAATCATGTCTCCTCTGGTCCACTTGTTTCAGGCTCCCCTGCAAACTTCGCCGTGTACACTGCCCTGGTGGAACCCCATGGGCGCATCATGGGCCTGGACCTGCCGGATGGCGGCCACCTGACCCATGGGTTCATGACAGACAAGAAGAAAATCTCCGCCACGTCCATCTTCTTTGAATCTATGCCCTATAAGGTAAGGTCCGTAGCTTTCCTTTCCTTGGAAAACCTGTGATGCTTGGCTGTGCCTGTAGGGATAAGTTCTGTTTATGTGGCACCATAGGAAGTCCCCACCTTGCACCATTTTTCATTTCCCTGCTGTGGGGACTCCTCAGGCTTTCAGGACCTGCTGGGGCAGCTGGGATGGAGAAACAAGGGTCTGAGCTGAGGCCACAGGGGAACCAGTGAGGGAGGCAACTACTGAGGAGAGTTCAGATGCAGCAGGGCAGTGACAACTGCTGGGAACTGCTGGAGCTGTGGGAACAACGCCGGGGAACAGCAGCCAGGTCAGCTACAGCTGGACCCAGCAACAGCCACCACGTCCACAGCTCTGCCCTCGCCTGGTGACATCTCTGCTTGGAGCCCTCGTGGGCCAGCAGCAGCACAAGGATGCAGTAACTACAGGCGTGGTAACGTCTTCAGCTCCAGCCAACACCAGCAGCTCCGTGCCATCCACAGCCACAGTCCTCCTTGGCCACGTTAGGACCAGCCCCTGCCTGTGTGTAATGGCTACAGAGGAGCAGACAGTGGTTTGGTTTAGGACTTTCAACTTTGGGATAGTGCAAAAGTGGCGTGAGTTCCGCAGCTGAGCTTCAAGCCCCCATGTAGCCATTCTGCTTTTCACTTTCAGTACAGTATTCAGTGGATTGCATGAGATAGTCAACACCGTATTATAAAATAAGCTTTGTGTTTGACTATTTTGCCCAGTGTAGGGTACCGCCAGTGTTCTGAGCATGTTTAAGGTAGGCCAGGCTAGGTTGTGATGTTCCATAGGTGAGATGTATTACGTGCATTTTTGACTTTATGATATTTTCAGCTTAGTGATGAGTTTATCGGAACATAAGACTGTTATGTAAATTGAGGAGCACCTGTACAGCTCAGATATACATCCCATTGCCACACTGCCACCCCACTGTACATACCTGATACACCGCCAGTGCAGCGCCAGAACCAGCACCATCAGAACCAGTGCCACGGGCTGCCTCTAGGGTGTGCAGGGCCCCAGGCAAATATTTGTTTTGCAGGGGACCCTGTCTATATAAACAGTTGGGTCAAAAATATATGTAAGATGCATAGGCTCCTTCAGGCATGGTAATTTGTCTATAAAGATGAAGGATGATAGGAGAGGTAATTTGCTTATTCTTTTAGTGTCCAGTGTTGGGAATTCTTTCTAGTGTCCAGGAACCTTCTTTTCATGTTTTATTATTAAATGTGCCAATCCTGCTTAGTTTTATGTTTGTTACCATGAAAAAAGGTAGCAGCACATCTTTCTGCTTGACTGGCATTTCATGGTCTTAGGTGCGTGCTGTCCGTAGTTCTGTGTATACTCAGTCTTTGTCTCAGTGCTGGTGATTGCACAGGTGCTCTTTTTTGCAGTCATTTCTTTTTACAGAATGCCTAGGTGTTTGTAGTCACAGGGCTCCTTATTGGCCAAGGCTGGCCTTGAAGCCAGATTTTGAAACATGTCACAATAGTAATAAAATACTTTGTCTTGGCTGGGAAGGGTGGCTCATGCCTGTAATCCCAGCACTTTGGGAGGCTAAGGCAGATGGATCACCTGAGGTCAGGAGTTCGAGATCAGCCTGGCCAACATGGCAAAACCCTGTCTGTTAATGGCACGTACCTGTAGTTCCAGCCCGTTGGGAGGCTGAGGCAGGAGATTGCTTGAACCCGGGAGGCGGAGGTTGCAGTGAGCCAAGATCGCACCACTGTACTCCAGTCTGGGTGGCAGAGACTGTCTCAAAAAAAAAACCTCAGCATTTCTTTTTTTGTTTTGTTTTGTTTTGTTTTGGGACGGAGTTTCACTCTGTGACCCAGGCTGGAGTGCAGTGGTGCGATCTCAGCTCTCTGCGTCCTCCCCTGTCCTGGGTATGGGGTGGTTCTCCTGCGCAGCCTCCCGGGTGGCTGGGACTGCAGACACCCATCACCACGCCCAGCTAGTTTTTGTATGTTTGGTAGAGACGAGGCTAGTCTTGAACTCCTGACCTCGGGTGATCTGCCCGCCTCGATGTCCCGGAGTGCTGGGATTATGGGCGTGAGCCACCAAGCCCAGCCCAAAGCTCAGCATTTCTAAAGTTACAGGTGTTTGTGTGTGTTTTTCTGTTTAAAAAAAAAAAACAAACTAGCTTGAAAAAACACTGAAACTAATTTTAATGAAAAGAATCAACCCTCAGAAAGCAAGCAAAAGGTTTCTTGAGCTGTTTTAGAAGCAGTGGAGAGAAAGAAATTATACTTAGGGAGTTTTCAATGTGAATAAAGTGTTTAAAAACAGATTAAACTGGTGTTACTAGTGCCAAAACAAAAAAACAAAAAACCGTCTCAGAAAAAAAACAAACCACTTTGCCTTTGGACTTAGAGCATAAAAGTGGGTTTCTCTGCTTTATTATTGAGACTGTGGCAGAGAGAATTTCCTGACTTTTTTTCTAGGCCCTTAGTGGATGGCTTGGGTAGCCTCATGCTCTTTCCTGAAGAGTCTATTCTGAGTATCCATAAGCTGGGTCCTAGCCGATGCAGTGGCTCACTCCTGTAATACCAGCACTTTGGGAGGCCCAGCACTTGGGCAGATCATTCAAGGTCAAGTTCGAGACCAGCATGGCCAACATGGTGAAACCCTGTCTCTACTAAAAATACAAAAATTAGCTGGGTGTGGTGGCACATGCCTGTAGTCCCAGCTACTCAGGAGGCTGGGGCAGGAGAAGCACTTGGGAGAATCACTTGGACCTGGGAGGTGGAGGTTGCATGAGCTGAGATTGCACCAGTGCACTCCAGCCTGGGTGACACAGTGAGACTTTGTCTCCAGAAAAAAAAAAAAGAATCTGGGTCCTGTGCCCAGTTCCCTCCAGCCACCACCTGTCTTTGATGTGCATTGTGCAGGCTGCAGTCCTATTGGTGCAGTGAGGGGACCCACCTCAGGATGGCCATGGAGAGGTGGGGCCTGGGACCCTGGCCAGCTGGGGTAGCAGGAGGTGCAGCTCACCCGCTGGGGGATGCTTTGAGTCCTGCCCTCAGTGGACAAGAGGAGGAGACAGACCTCATCAGCATATACCAGCAGCCAGAGGCAGCTCACCTCCACCCCACCGGGCTGCAGGGTGGGAGGTCAAGGGGTATACTAGGGCCACTGCCCTGCTCCGCCTTCCCTAGACTACCTGCCTCCACCTTTGGCCCCTACCCACCTCCATGGCAAGAGCCTTAGGCAGGGCCAGGCTAGGGCAACAGCAACACTAACCTTCTATTTTGTGTTTTGGGCCCATTCCATGGTGACTAGAGAATTCCTCCCTGTCCCTGGTCCTAAGAGACTGCTGGGGCCTCCTTCCTTATCCTCTGTGCACTGTGCATCCCATCTGCAGTTTATTATAAATGCCTGTGAATTCTTCTAGGAGTTGTTCTGTTGTCTCATTTCCAAGATTAAAAAAATGAAAATAATGGCTGGGCGGGGTGGCTCAGACCTGTAATCCCAGCACTTTGGGAGGCCAAAGTGGATGGATCACAAGGTCAGGAGTTTGAGACCAGCCTGGCCAACATGATGAAACCCCATCTCTACTAAAAATAAAAAAAAAATTAGCCAGGCTTGGTGGTGGGTGCCTGTAATCCCAGCTACTCCAGAGACTGAGGCAGGAGAATCGCTTGAACCTGGAAGGCAGAGGTTGCAGTGCACAGAGATTGTGCCATTGCACTCCAGCCTGGGTGACAGAGCGAGACTCCGTCTCGCGGTGGGGAAAAAAAAAGAGAGAGAAACAAAAGAAAAAAAAAGAAAAACATTTGGGAACCCATTAAATTAAAAAAGGAGAAAGCAGCACAGATTTTTTCTTTCTTTTTTTTTTTTTTGTAATTGTGGCTGCACAAAAGTTTTTAGAATTATGTCCATTTTTAAAAAAATCTCTTTTTTTTTTTTCCTTTTTGTGGAGAACAGGGCCTTCTTGCTGTATTGCCCAGGTGGGTCTTGAACTCCTGTACTCAAGCTCTCCTCCCATCTCTGCCTCCCTAAGAGCTAGGATTATAGGCACGAGCCACCGTACCCAGTGAATTATGTCCATTTTTTACTGGAGGTCAGCTGTTGATATTTCTTTTTTTTTTTTTTCTTTGTTTTTTGCCCAAGTTGGCCACTCCTGGAAGCTGTTGATAGGTCATCAGGATAACAGTTTCTTTGCCAAGTTCAGGTGGCTGAGAAAGAACCACACCCTTAAAGCAAAACACAGAAAGCAAAACCACAAATCATCTTTCAGCTTGAATTTCTAGATGAGGTCTTGGTTCCTGAAACCTTGTGGGAAGCTTCTGTAGTTGGGTTGGATTGTAAGTGCTTTTTTTTTTCTTTTTTTGAGATGGAATCTCCCTCTGTCACCTAGGCTGGAGTGCAGTGGTGTGATCTCAGTTCACTGCACCCTCCACCTCCCGTGTTCAAGTGATTCTCCTGCCTCAGACTCCCGAGTAGCTGGAATTACAGGTGCATGCCACCAAGCCTGGCTAATTTTTTGTATTTTTAGTAGAGATGGGGTTTCACTGTGTTAGCTAGGATGGTCTTGATCTCCTGATCTTGTGATCTGCCTGCCTCGGCCTTGCAAAGTGCTGGGATTATGTGAGCCATTGTGCCCAGCCTAATTTTGTGTTTTTAGTAGAGGCGGGGTTTCACCATGTTGGCCAGGCTGGTCTCCGACAACTGATCTCAGGTGATCCACCCCCAAGGCCTCCCAAAGTGCTGGATTACAGACATGAACCACCATGCCTGGCTAACCCGTATGTTTTAATAGACGTTTAATAAAATGAACTTCCTAAGATTTGTGTTGCCAAAAAAGAAAAATCAAGTATTTTAAATTTTATGTTGAGATCTACAATCTATCTGGAATTGATTTTTTTTCTGAGACGGAGTCTTGCTCTGTCGCCCAGGCTGGAGTGCAGTGGCATGATCTCAGCTCATTGCAACTTCTGCCCTCCAGGTTCAAGCAATTCTCCTGCCTCAGCCTCCTGAGTAGCTGGAGTACAGGTGCATGCCACCATGACCAGCTAATTTTTTGTATTTTTAGTAGAGATGGGGTTTCACTATGTTGGTCAGGCTGATCTTAAACTCCTGATCTCAGGTGATCCGCCCACTTCGGCCTCCCAAAGTGCTGGAATTACAGGTGTGAGCCACCGTGCCCGAACTCTTTTTTTTTTTTTAACAAATTATATATCATTATTAGATGCACAGTGATATTATGATATATATATACACACACACACAGTGTGGGATTATTGAATCAATTAATATCCCACTACTTAAATATTTATTATTTTTCTTCCTAACTGCAACTTTGTACCCTTTGCTCAGTATGTTTCCATTGTCCACCATCCTCCAGTGACTGGTAACCACATTCTGCTTCTGAGAGTCTGATTGTTTTATTTGTTTATTTATTATTATTATTATTATTTGAGATAGAGTCTCACTCTGTCACCCAGGCTGGAGTGCAGTGGTGTAATCTCAGCTCACTATAACCTCTGCTTCCTGGGTTCAAGCAATTCTGCCTCAGCCTCTTGAGTAGCTGGGATTACAAGTGCCCAGCTAATTTTTTGTATTTTTTTTTCTAGTAGAAATGGGGTTTCACCCTGTTGGCCAGGCTGGTCTTGAACTCCTGTACTCAAGTGATCTTCCCACCTTGGCTTCCCAAAGTGCTGAGATTACAGGCATGAGCCAATGCCCCACAGTGTGATCTCACTTCTCTGTGAAATCTAAAACAATCGAACTGCTGGGTGCGGTGGTTCACGCCTGTAATTCTAGCACTTTGGGAGGCTGAGGTGGATGAATCAGCTGAGGTCAGGAGTTCGAGACCAGCCTGGCCAACATAGTAAAACCCCGTCTCTATAAAAAATACAAAAATTATCTGGGCATGGTGTCACTGCCTGTGGTCCCAGCTACCCCTGAGTAGGAGAATCTCTTGAGCCCAGCAGGTGGAGGTTGCAGTGAGCCGAGATTGTGCCAGTGCACTCCAGCCTGGGCAACAGAGTGAGACTCTCTTAAAAAAGAAATGAGATCAGGCCGGGCACGGTGGCTCACGCCTGTAATCCTAGCACTTTAGGAGGCCAAGGTGGGTGGATCACCTGAGGTCAGGAGTTCAAGACCAGCCTGGCCATCATGGCGAAACCCCATCTTTAAAAAAAAAAAAGGAGTGAGATCATGCAGTATTTGTCTTTCTGAGCCTGGCATATTTCACTTAGCGTCCAAGTTCATTTGTGTTGTTGCAAATGACAGAATTTCTTTTTTCGGGCTGATTAATTACATTTTATGTGTGTGTGTATGTGGGGAACATTCCCGTGTGAGACCCCTAAAAGGCGTGAGTCTCACTATATGGTGAGTTTGATCCCAAACACAGTTTCCTACTGGAGGCAGTCGAGCTTGTGTATTTGTGTATATATATGTGTATGTGTGTGTATACACGTGTGTATGTGTCACATTTCTTTGTCCATTCTTCTGCTGATAGACGTGGGTTTATTCCGTAACTTGGCTATTGTGCATAGTGCTGCAGTGAACATGGGAGTGCACACGTCTCTTTGACATACTGATTTCAGGTTCTTAGGATATATATTTAGAAGTGGGATTGCTGAATCTGGAATTGATTTCTTTATGTGGGTGAGGTGGGCATCCAGATAACATTTTTGTTGAAATGGATGCCCAGTTGACCTAGTGCCATTGATTGAAAAGGACATCCTCTCCCCACTGCACTGCGGCATCACCATTGGCATGGATCTGATGACCTATGTCATGTGTGCTTCTGCTTCTAGGCTCTCTTCTGTTAAGCCAGATGCTCTGCCCTTCCACAAATGCATGCTGCTTAATTATTATAATTTGCCAGGCATTTTATGACACAAAATATACAAAGCATCTGGGCGCGGTGGCTCACACCTGTAATTCCAGCATTTTGGGGGGGGCCAAGGTGGGCGGATCACAAGGTTAGGAGTTTGAGACCAGCTTGGCCAACATAGTGAAACCCCGTCTGTACTAAAAATACAAAAATTAGCCAGGTGTGGTGGCAAGCGCCTGTAGTCCCAGCTGCTTGGGAGGCTGAGGCAGGAGAACCCCGGAGGGAGAGGTTCCAATGAGCCAAGATTGCACTTCTGCACTCCAGCCTAGGTGACAGAGCGAGACTCCATCTCAAAAAAAAAGAAATACACAAAGCAATGATGTTTTATGTAGAGGTCTGGTATGTCTTTCCTTTTACGGTTTTTGATGCTAATATAATGTTATTTAAATTTCATTTTCTGTCTTCCTTGCTTTTATATACTTACTGTTTTTTCAGTGCTATATCCAGTGACCTTTCTAAATTTGCTTATTTTAACAGTTTACCCCTAGCATCTTAATTTTCTAGGTACACTGTGTTGTCTGTGTGTCATGTCAGGTTTAAAATTTCTTCTTTTCTAATTGTTACGCCTTTTGTTTCTTTTTCTTGCCTCATTATACTTGGAATAGAAGTGATATGAGCAGGCATTTTGGCCTTGTTCCTGAAGGTAACTGTTTTGGTCTGCATCGTGTGGTCCTCTTGCTTCTGTTTCATTCTTCGAGTGCTTTTTGGTTCCTTCTCAGGGGTTAGTGCCCCAGCAGCAGGGCTCACTAAAACCCTGGGACTCCTCGGGGCCTCCTGGGTCTGTGAGCTGTACCTGGTTGAGCAGTCTGAACACATCAATATCCTGTCTCACCCTCAAGTCCTCATATAGGACATTGTTCCTCTTGTCTTGGCGGGTGGAGCAAGTTCAATCGAGAGGAAGGAGGCAGGTGCGGCTGGAGGAAGCAGCCTGAACCTGTCTACCTGACATTCCGCAGGTGAACCCAGACACTGGCTACATCAACTATGACCAGCTGGAGGAGAACGCCCGCCTCTTCCACCCGAAGCTGATCATCGCAGGTGACGCATGGCGTGGAAAATGACCTTGTTCACCAGTAGCTTGGTGCCTCTTACAGAATGAGGATGTAAAGATGTTCCCATCCTGTTGAGCCCACTGCTAGTTTCTGCCCTGAATAACTGAGTTTCTGGGGTCCACATAGATTAGTTTCTTTCAGGATACAGATGTGTGTTTGCTGCTTTTTGTGCTATGTGGATTAAGATCTGAGACTGTTCTCAGAGAGGCATCTAGAAATGTTAGGCCCTGACTGGGTTGGCAGTAGTAGTTGGAGCCATCTCAACCACCAAGATGTTGAAGAGTCAGAGTGTTTGCTTAACAGAGATGCTTTTTGAGGGCATTCTCCATTTTTGCTCTGAGATTTTAGGGGAAGAAATCTGGGCTTTCAGATCCATGTATCTAGGGGCCACTCTGTGAAGCCGACTCAGCTGGCCCATGGACATCTCTGATGCAACTGTGTCACCTTTCCTGTCTCAGGAACCAGCTGCTACTCCCGAAACCTGGACTATGCCCGCCTGCGCAAGATTGCAGATGAGAATGGGGCATATCTCATGGCAGACATGGCACACATCAGCGGGCTGGTGGTGGCTGGCGTGGTGCCCTCCCCATTTGAACACTGCCACGTGGTGACCACCACCACTCACAAGACCCTGCGAGGCTGCCGAGCTGGCATGATCTTCTACAGGAAAGGTGTGCTCCCAAGTGTTGGGTACAGACGGGTACCGTGGTTTACATTTCTCCTGTGGGGGTTCAGATTCGGTTGAGGGAGCTGGGAAAAACTCTGGTCCGGGATCCTTCGAAGATTTTAAGATCTCTGTCCCTTAAAGAGCTGCTTAGGAAGGAGGGGTGACAGGCTTTGCAGAAAGGATCCAGAAGGAAGCCCTCAGCCACAGCTCCTGCTTCACCTTTATGCATCCAGGTCTTAGGAGCACAGGAAGGGGATCAGCAACCACCATGCGTTAGGATGATGCCGGTTGCCAATGTCCTTTTGCTCAACTAATCTTCCCCTCAAGAGGCAGGCATTTGAATGAAAGGAGGATACATGGCTGGCCGGGGGCTACTCGGAGGCCTCACAAGGCTGCATTATTCCGGTGAACTTACAGTGGTCCATCATGCTTCTCAAAGAGAAAGACTCACAGTAGTCAAACTAGAAGACATGGATGTATACATGAATAGCATTTTAGTGAAGGTTTTTCTTTCCATCACCTTATAATTTGCCCCTAGGCATTCCCCTTATTTTCGAATTTCCATACCCGGGAAAGCCTGTTAGTGGTCAGGTCATCATTTAGCCTGTGGTGAGAACTGACGTGCCAACCTTGCATCAGCAGACACACCAGCCCTCTGGTGACTACATTACTCTTAACCCGATGCAGGGTTTCCTTGCCCAGCCCCTGGCTAGAACGAGACACAGCCACATGACCCCACAGCTTCTCAACACCCTGTTGCCTCTCTGCTCCTCTGAGGACCGTTTTTAGCTGTGCTGATGTTTCTGAGGCAGGTAGCCATTCCCCACCTGCCCAGGAGACATTTGTTTCATTTGTTTTTTCCCCTACTGTGTGTTGATGTGATTCATTTCACCCAGTGCTGAGGGACTCTGGAGCCAGCCTATCAGAGCAAATACTGGCTCTGCCGCACACTCACTGTGTGACCTTGGGCTAGTTGTGCAGCCTCTCCGCGCCTCATTTCCTCACCAGAGTGAGGACTGTAATAATCGTACCTGTCCCTTTGGACTGTTGTTTTGAGGATTAAATGAATTTATGTAAAGTGATCAGAGCAGTTCTTGGCTCACTAAAAGCTCCAAATTGATGTTAATTGTTACTGATTATTACTGAATAGTAGCTATTATTGATGGTTAACTTTTTCTCAGAAAGGAACCTTATTCTCCATATGTAGCCAGATGAGCATTGTCTCCAACGCAGTCATCTTGGGGATGCTTTAAATTTTATTTTTGGGGACAGGGTCTCACTCTATCACTCAGGCTATAGTGCAGTGGTACAATCAAAGCCCTCTGCAGCTTCAGCTTCCTGGGCCCAAGCAATCCTTCCACCTCACCCTCCCATGTAGCTAGGACCATAGGTGCGTGCCTCCATGCCTTGCTTATTTTTATATTTTTTTTGTGGACTTGGGGTCTCCCTTTGTTGCTCAGGCTGGACTCAATCTCCTGGGTTCAAGTGATCTTGCCTCTGCCTCCCAAAGTGCTGGGATGACATGGACATTCCTTTTTTCTCTTTTTCTTTCTTTTTTTTTTTCACTCGTCACCTGGGGTGGAGTGCAATGGTGCAATCTCTGCTCACTGCAACCTCCGCCTCCCAGGTTCAAGCAATTCTCCTGCCTCAGCCTTCCAAGTAGCTGGAATTACAGGTGCCCACCACCATGCCCAGTTAATTTTTGTATTATTAGTAGAGATGGGGTTTCACCGTGTTGCCAGGCTGGTCTTGAACTCCTGACCTCAGCTGATCCACCTGCCTCAGCTTCACAAAGTGCTGGGATTACAGGTGTGAGCTGCCGCACCTGGCCACATGGACATTTCTCTTTTTTTGAGATGAAGTCTCACTCTGTCGCCCAGGCTAGAGTGCAGTGGTGCAATCCCGGCTCACTGCAACCTCCACTTGGCAGGTTAAAGCAATTCTCCTGCCTTAGACTCCCAAGTAGCTGGGACTACAGGTATGTGTCACCATGCCCAGCTAATTTTTTGTATTTTTAGTAGAGACGGGGTTTCACCGTATTAGCCAGGATGGTCTTGGTCTCCTGACCTTGTGATCCGCCTGCCTCAGCCTCCCAAAGTGCTGGGATTACAGGCGTGAGCCACTGTGCCCAGTGGTTCAAGCGATTCTTTTTGCCTCAGCCTCCCGAGTAGCTGGGACTACAGGCATGTGCCACCACGCCCAGCTAATTTTTTCATTTTTATTAGAGACAAGGTTTCAGCGTATTGGTCAGGATGGTCTCGTTCTCTTGATCTCGTGATCCGCCCACCTCTGCCCCCCAAAGAGCTGGGATTATAGGCATGAGCCACTGCGCCTAGCCTCACATTAACATTTCTTTAAGGAAGTATGTCCAGGGCAAATTCTTTTTTTTTTTTTTTTTGAGGCGGAGTTTCGCTCTTGTTACCCAGGCTGGAGTGCAATGGCGCCATCTCGGCTCACCGCAACCTCCGCCTCCTGGGCTCAGGCAATTCTCCTGCCTCAGCCTCCTAAGTAGCGGGGATTACAGGCACGCGCCACCACGCCCAGCTAGTTTTTTGTATTTTTAGTAGAGACGGGGTTTCACCATGTTGACCAGGATGGTCTCGATCTCTCGACCTCTTGATCCACCCGCCTCGGCCTCCCAAAGTGCTGGGATTACAGGCTTGAGCCACCGCGCCCGGCCCTAATTCTTGGTTACAACATTAGTGGAGGGAAATTTCTGTCCTTTCATTTTTAAAGCCTTGTTATAGTTGTGTTGTTAAGAAGAGATGCCATCAGAGGAGGCAGGTGGACAGCTGAGGTGCTGAAACCAGCATTCCAGCCAGAGTCATCCATGATGTCTTCATTTCCAAAGAATAAGCATGCTGGTCTGCCCTTAGGTGGCAAGGGTCCCCTTTGCTCTGCTGTGTTACAAACCAGTTCTCCATGCCAGGAGTAAAGGCCAGGCCTGTGCTCGATACTTCCCTGGCCAGTCTGGGTTTGAGCCTTAAAAAAAAAACAGAGGAGCCGGGCGCGGTGGCTCAAGCCTGTAATCCCAGCACTTTGGGAGGCTGAGGCGGGTGGATCACGAGGTCAAGAGATCAAGACCATCCTGGTCAACATGGTGAAACCCCGTCTCTACTAAAAATACAAAAAAAAAATTAGCTGGGCATGGTGGTGTGTGCCTATAATCCCAGCTACTCAGGAGGCTGAGGCAGGAGAATTGCCTGAACCCAGGAGACGGAGGTTGCGGTGAGCCGAGCTCGTGCCATTGCACTCCAGCCTGGGTAACAAGAGCGAAACTCCGTCTCAAAAAAAAAAAAAAAGAAAAAAAAAAAACAAACAGAGGGACAGCCCATATGATCCCATTCTGGTGTTTTTCTTCCTCCAGGAGTGCAAAGTGTGGATCCTAAGACTGGCAAAGAGATTCTGTACAACTTGGAGTCTCTCATCAACTCTGCTGTGTTCCCTGGCCTGCAGGGAGGTCCCCACAACCATGCCATTGCTGGTAAAACACCATCTGCTTCTGCTCATCCTGGGGCCCCTAATTCCCGTCTCACCTGTCCTCCAAGATCATGTACCAGGCCTTCCATGCTGGGGGAAGAGCTGGAGGACTGTCTCTGTCCAGGAGATACTAACACAGAAGAATAGGGCATGGTTGAGATTAGCCTAAGGTAGGGCCTGGAGGGAATGGCATCCACTCCAAGCATACAGGCACCTGGAGGCAAAACTGTGAGCCAGGCCAGGTTTTGTAAAGTATGTGAAGCCTTCTTAGGGAAGAAATATGACAGTTAGGAGAGGGCAAAGCACAGGTGAGAGAGATTGGGATGCAAACCTTACAGGATGAGCCCCTTTGCCCTTGATGGACCCGGCCTGTGGGGGTGGAGGCTCCTGTGTGTGATCCTCACACCCTGCACCAGTGCCACGTCAGTGACTCCTGAGTCGGATTCCATGACTGCCCAGCAGGTTCTCATTGACGTGTTCTTTTTTTGTTTGGACAAGTAGCTTAGGACATTTGTGATGACTCAGAGTTGTCCTACTGCATTTGTGGGACAAGGACATTGATAGAGCTCATTCCTGCTAAAGGGCTCAGGATGAAGGTAGAGCTTCTCAGTCAGGAGACGCACGAGTACTAAGGAACCTGGGGACAGCAGCAATCAGGAGATATTAGGCATAAAGGGGTAGGAGGAGTTGGAGTCCCAGGTGTGTTTTCATGTTTGCCCGTCACACCTGCACACTCAGCACCCACGGCTGCTTCAACTCTGGGATGCAGAGATCACCCCATGCCCAGCTGTTCTGGATGCCCTTTCCGGTTTTTTTGTTTTGTTTTTGAGACACAGTCTCCTTGTGTCGCCAGGCACCAGGCTGGAGTGCAGTGACGTGATCTTGGCTCACTACAACCTCTGCCTCCTGGATTCAAGCAATTCTCCTGCCTCAGCCTCCCGACTAGCTGGGACTACAGGCATGTGCCACCATGCCCAGCTAATTTTTGTATTTTTTTTTTTTTTCAGTAGAGATGGGGTTTCACCATGTTGGCCAGGATGGTCTCGATCTCTTGACCTCATGATCCACCTGCCTCAGCCTCCCAAAGTGCTAGGATTACAGGTGTGAGCCACCGTGCCCGGCTGCCCTTACTGGTTGTTTTCACAAGTACTGATTGGAGGCCCTGTGCGGGATGCAGGCCCAGGGGTTCTCCTTGTCTTCCATTCTCTGTGTCCCTTGAAGCAGCCCTCAGGACTGAACATGAGGTACCAGCTGAGTCTGAATGGTGCGGGTCGGACGAAGGCTGCCCTCCTACCTGTGCTCTGATCTGAGAGAGCTGCATAATCTGACATCAGAGCAGCAACTCATAGGGCCGCCAAGCAATCGTTTTCACACACCAAGATTAAAAAGGATTTCAAATCTATCTTGCTTAACAGCTTTGCTATGGTAATGCTAGCACAGAACTTCCGTGCTCAGGGAAAGGTTACCTCAACAGCAGTTCCTCAGAGAGAGGCATATTGGCCGGGCATGGTGGTTCATGCCTGTAATCCCAGCACTTTGGGAGGCTGAGGCAGGCGGGTCACTTGAGCCCAGGAGTTCGAGATCAGCCCAGCCAACATGGAGAAACCTGATTTCTACTAAAAATATAAAAAATTAGCCAGGTATAGATGGGCACTGTGGCTCACGCCTGTAATTCCAGCACTTTGGGAGCCCAAGGCAGGCAGATCATGTGAGATCAGTTCAAGACCAGCCTGGTCAACATATAGTGAAACCCTGTCTCTACTAAAAAATTCAAAAATTAGCTGGATGTGGTAGTGCATGCCTGTAGTCCCAACTACTTGGGAAGCTGAGGCAGGAGAATCGCTTGAACCTGGGAGGTGGAGGTTGCAGTGAGCCGAGATCACACCACTGCACTCCAGCCTGGGCAACAGAGTGAGACTCCATCTCTCAAAAAAAAAAAAAAAATTGGCTGAGTGTGGTGGTTCACGCCTGTAATCCCAGCACTTTGGGAGGCCACGATGGGCGAATCAGCTGAGGTTGGGAGTTCGAGACCAGCCTGGCCAACATGGCGAAACCCCGTCTCTATTAAAAAATACAAAAATAAGCTGGGTGCGGTGGCAGGCACCTGTAACCCCAGCTACTCGGGAGGCTGAGGCAGGAGAATTACCTGAACTCCAGGAGGTGGAGGCTGCAGTGAGCTGAGATTGTGTCATTGTACTCCAGCCTGGGAGACAGGGCAAGACTCTGTCTCAAAAAAAAAAAAAAAAATTTAGCCACGTGTAGTAGAACATACCTGTAGTCCCAACTACTCCAGAGACAGATGGGAGGATCATCTGAGCCCAGGAAGTCAAGGTTGCAGTGAACTGTGATCGTGCCACTGCACTCCAGCCTGGGCAATGAGAGTGAGACCCTGTCTCAAAAATATAAAAATAATAAAATTTTTTGGCTGGGCATGGTGGCTCATGCCTGTAATCCCAGCACTTTGGGAGGCTGAGGCAGGCAGATCACTTGTAGTCAGGAGTTAAAGACCAGCCTTGCCAATACGGTGAAACCCTGTCTCTACTAAAAATACCAAAAAAATTAGCTGGCTGTGGTGGCACGCACCTCTAGTCCCAGCTAGTTGGGAGGCTGAGGCAGAAGAATCACTTGAACCTGGGAGGTGGAGGTTGCAATGAGGAGAGATCATGCCAGCTTGGGGAACAAGAGTGAAACTCCATCTCAACAAAACAAAATAAAATAAGTAAGTTTCATTTTGGAAGAAAATGTAACCTAACCCCAAAAGCAAGGGGGGCCATTGAAAAGCAAGGAAGCTTGAGGGTAAACAGGAATGTTGTTGGATTCATCGTCTGTCTATGATTCTATCCTAACCTCCTGACCCATTGTCTCTTCCTGTCCAGGGGTTGCTGTGGCCCTGAAGCAAGCTATGACCCTGGAATTTAAAGTTTATCAGCACCAGGTGGTGGCCAACTGCAGGGCTCTGTCTGAAGCACTGACGGAGCTAGGCTACAAAATAGTCACAGGTACAGACACCCTGTTCTTGTGGTTGCATTAAGGCTTGCTCCTCAGTTTTTCCACCCAGGATGTGGCCCAGGCACTGCTGCTGGAGCTGCAATGACTGGAGACCACCTTGGGAGGAGGTCAGCCTCACCTCCAGCTGGAAAGCCTCCCCCTGCCTCAGGCCAGCCAGCTGCCCCTTTGGGTGAGCCACAGATGATGGGAATAGTGGCTGCCATTGGTCACCAGCCTGAGGACTGCATGTCCTCAGAACAGCTTTGCAGGACTACCTGAGGCTCACCTGAGAGAGGCTGGGCTGTAGTGGTCACACACCTGGTAGGTGGCAGAGCCAGGACTCTGTGGTCTGTGGTGATGCTTTGCACTGTGCTTACTACGTGGGGGTGCAGCTCTCCCCACTGGGAGTGGGGCCTCCTGGTTTGCCGCATGTTCCTAGGGAGTTGGCTTGCTATATATAGCCATGTTTGCTTGGATCTATACATTCTGGAGCCAATGGACTGTGAATGAGATGGACTTCTCAGGTCAGGGCCCCACGCTGGGGTGCCATCCACCTCACAGTCTGCAGGCTTCCACGGGGAGAAGGCATTTTTTTGGCAGGCAGTATACTCGATCCTCCTGAGGAAGGGCAACTTTATTCCTGGGCCCACGAGGCTGCTGATTGTGCTAACAGTGGTGTGGTCCAGGAATATGGGTCCTGCTGTGTGTTTACCCAAGCGCCCACTCCCTGCACCATGCCCTTTGACCTTTATGGGGATTACAGGCCCTCTGGTCTAAGGAGTGGGGCTCCCACCGAACCCTGTGTGTGCAGCAGTCCTGGGAAGGCCGGGCCGCCGCCGTCTCCTCAGTAGTGCTGGCCACACCCGCTTTTATGTTTTACCTCACTTTCTGTTCTCCCATTATCCTCCATGTCTTCAAATAATAAAGCCTAAGAAGTCCTAGTGTGGACTGTGACCTTCAGGTGCTTTTGCTCAGGAGTCCCCAACCTCCAGGCCACGGATGAGTACTGGTTTGTGGCCTGTTAGGAACCCAGCCGCACAGCAGGAAGTGAGCTGGCGGAGAGATCATTGCCGCTTGAGCTTTGTCTCCTGGCAGATCAGTGGCAGCATTCAGTTCTCATAGGAGCTGTTGTGAACTGCACATGTGAGGGAGTTCTAGAGGCTAGGTTGGGTCTCTTTTGAGAAACTATCCTTTTTTCCCCCTCTGATTATACCTGTATCCTTATGAGAATCTAATGCCTGATGATCTGAGGTGGAAGTTTCATCCTAAAACCATCCCCCAACGCCATCTATGGAAAAACTGTCTTTCACAAAACCAGTTCCTGGTGCCCAAAACAGGAACCACTGTGGGTCCCTGTTTCTCTTTTGTTTTTTGAGACAGAGTCTCACTCTGTCGCCCAGGCTGGAGTGCAGTGGCACCATCTTGGCTCACTGCAACCTCCGCCTCCAGGGTTCAAGCAATTCTCCTGAGTCAGCCTCCCGAGTAGCTGGGATTACAGGCAGGTGCCACCATGCCTGGCTAGTTTTTCTATTTTTAGTAGAGATGGGGTTTCACCATGTTGATCAGGCTGGTCTTGAACACCTGACTTTGTGATTTGCCCGCTTCGGCCTCCCAGAGTTCTGGGCTTACAGGTGTGAGCCACCCCACCTGGCCATGTCCCTGTTTCTCAAACTTGGATGTGCATACCACCCCTGGGCCTGCTGGTGTCATGCAGATTCTGACCACATCTTGGGTGATGCTGGTCTGGAAGCCACCCTTGGAGTTGTGAGGGTTTAGGCCATAGTCTCTGACACCATGGGCATCTCATGGCATGGGCCTGCCCTCTCCCTGGTGACTTTGTCATTGTCATTCTGCCCTCTGAGGACCTGATGCACACGGCTGAAGCAGATAATGCTTGTGAATGCCCCTTTGTGCCTGACAAAGTAAGAAACGCTGTATTCAGTATCTGACTTAAACCTCACGACAGCCCTGTGAATGATTGGTCTTTTTGTTACAAATGAGCATCTGAGATCTGAGGTTCCACAATGTTGAGCTGCCTGCCTAAAGCCACACTGCAAGCAGGTGGGCACAGCTGTGGGGCTGCAGAGCCAAGCTGGAGCCCTAGCTCACCCTCATCTTCAAAGGCATCCTGCATAAAGCTCAGAGGCAGAGGCCCGAGCACTGTCGGCAAACAAGGCAATACCCTGGCTTAATGAAGGTTCAAAGTGGTAGAATCCTCCTGTGTGACCTTGGGTCAGGTCCAGAAAACTGTTAGCCTTGCTGTTGTCACCTTACCATTTTGATAGTATCATCAGCCTCACAGGATCCTGGTAGTAAAACCCACCACAGGCTAGTACAGTGTCTGGCACCTAATGTGCTCTGTGAGCATGCGCCTTACCCCGCCAACACAGTAAATTGAACCACTGCCCAATACTCATGCTGCCTTCAGGGAGCCTTCAATGTTAGGGAATTGCCCAAGCAACTTGTTAGAGAAAACAAGCCAGGAGCAGCCTGAGGAAGCTGTCTCTTCCCCAGGGGAGTGTCAGGCCCTCTTCTCTATGATCAGTTACGCCTTTCAAAAGTGCTCTGGCCTTCCTTTCACACTCTCAGGCCTGGGCATCTCTCATGGGTGATTAGAATCCCAGGCTATGTGGTGAGTGTGCTCACCTTCCTGACCTCATCTGCTTTGGCCTCCTTCACCCTCACCTCCATTTCTCAGAGAGATTCCTTCATGGCATAGAATTAGCCTGCATTTCTATGTGTCCAACTTTGTTTCCAGGTGGTTCTGACAACCATTTGATCCTCGTGGATCTCCGTTCCAAAGGCACAGATGGTGGAAGGGCTGAGAAGGTACTGGAAGCCTGTTCTATTGCCTGCAACAAGAACACCTGCCCAGGTGAGAATCATCCTTGGCCTTCTCCTTCATCCCACTCCCATCTGCATTTCTTCTGGCCAAAGTTGTAGCTGATGAAGATATTGGCACTGGATACAGACCTCCGATAAAAACTGGAGCGGGGGCTGGGCAAGGTGCTCACGCCTATAATCCCAGCACTTTGGGAGGCCAAGGCAGGCGATCACTTGAGGTCAGGAGTTTGAGACCAGTCTGGCCAAAATGATGAAACCCTCTCTACTAAAAATACAAAAATTGTCCGGCCACGGTGGCTCATACCTGTAATCCCAACACTTTGGGAGGCCGAGGCGGGCAGATCATGAGGTGGGCGGATTATGAGGTGAAGAGATCGAGACCATCCTGGCATGATGAAGTCCCGTCTCTACTATTTTTTATTTTTATTTTTAAAATCTCATCTTGAATTGTACCGTCTCTACTAAAAATAGAAAAATTAGCTGAGTGTGGGGGTGTGTGCCTTTAGTCCCAGCTACTCAGGAGGCTGGGACAGGAGAATCACTTGAACCCAGGAGGCAGAGGTTGCAATGAGCCGAGATCGTGCCACTGCACTCCAGACTGGTGACAGAGCAAAACTCTGTCTCAAAAAAAGAAAAAAAAAAATACAAAAATTAACTGAGCAAGGTGCTGCACGCCCATAATCCCAGCTACTCAGGAGGCTGAGGCAGGAGAATTAATGTGAAGACAGGAGGCAGAGGTTGCAGTGAGTAGAGAATGCACCACTGTACTCCAGCCTGGGCAACAGAATGAGACAGTCTAAAAAAAACAACTGGAGTGGAGGTGGGGACCATACCTTGGCCGTCTCTTGGCTGTGCCTTTGGACTTGGCCCTGATCCTGCCAGGGAGCAAAAAGACTGATGTGGAGCCTTTGGAGATGATATATTAATTAGATGAGGGAGGTGAGGGCCTCTGGAATCCAGAGGCTGCATTTCTCTGTGGGTTAACAAAATATTGATGACACATTTCAGATCCAGACAGATGTTAACCTCATGTTTAGGAGCAAGAGACACATCAGACTACTTTGTGTACAAATAAATAAGATTGGCCAAAATGTGGTTGTGCCCTCTTGTGCCTTGGGTTCTACCTTTAGTTTCTGAATCAGTTGTAGTGTCCTTGCTAGAGACAACCAGTATCCTCAGGCCAGTTCTCTTTTGCCCACATGTCCCTTTAAAATGCACTATTGTCACAGTGGTGAGTGTGGCTTAGGGACAGAGCCCCATTTATCTTGTAGGTGACAGAAGTGCTCTACGGCCCAGTGGACTGCGGCTGGGGACCCCAGCACTGACGTCCCGTGGACTTTTGGAAAAAGACTTCCAAAAAGTAGCCCACTTTATTCACAGAGGTAAGAATAAAATTTTGAAAGTTCCCACATCTTATTGTGTATATTTAGTTTCTGATTGTGATGAGTAGCTGAGACCCTGCCAGCCAAAGACAATTCTGCACCGAGGCTGAGTGCTGGGGCGGGAGACAACAAAAACCACTTAGGTAAATCACCTTGTCTGAGAGGTTTATAAATTTAGACTGCCTACGATATCTGTCCAAGGGTGGGTACATCCAAGAGTAATTTCTGAGGTGAACATTGAAACCTCGTGCCTTGCCGCACTCCCCAGCTGGGGGATATTATGAAAGCTGTGCCTCGGCCCCCAGCCATTGTGCCCCACTCTGGTGTGTAGTGTGGGGTAACCCCGGGGTGACTCACTTGTGTCTTGTGGCACAGGGATAGAGCTAACCCTGCAGATCCAGAGCGACGTTGGCGTCAGAGCCACCCTGAAGGAGTTCAAGGAGAGACTGGCAGGGGATAAATACAAGGGGGCCGTGCAGGCTCTCCGAGAGGAGGTCGAGAGCTTCGCTTCTCTCTTCCCTCTGCCTGGCATGCCCGACTTCTAAAGCCGCTGGCCCACTCTGAACCTGCCTGCGCCACAGAGGAAGCTGTCTGCTGGAGGACCACCCCCGACCTTGAGAGATGGATGAGCTGCTCCACAGGGGACCCATTGACCTGACTACTTGTGCCCTTTGAGGGGGTTTCTTGTGGACTTTTTTCAAGTTTTCTTCACAAATCAAAATTTGTGTAAGTCTCATTGTTAGTAATTATGGGACAGGTAATTAAAGGATTTAAATTTGAACCTGGCCTTCTCACAGCTGGATGTAATTATTCTCTAAAACTAAAATACTGTGTAGCCTCTTGACCATAATCACTTAGACCATGGTGTAGGGCAAAGCTATTACAAAGAATCTAGCGTTGTACTCTCCCTGGGCTCTGCTCTTCCTTACTGCAACAGAGAAGAAATGCCCATGTCCGCAGCTTGGAAACACTGCCACACTTACTATCTTGTTATCCAGAGGCATGCCAAAGGAGAGCTAATTCAGCCTCTGAAGCTTCTGCTGTGTACCGTAAATCAGAAGTCTATGTTAGCCAAGCGTACACAAGTTGCACCCCGTATGGCGGGAAGGTTTTGCTGTCAGTAGCTCAAAATATGCTGTAGATTGTTTTCTAGTGGATTCAAAAAAAAAAAAAAATGGTGTAGAAATGGTATTCTCCTCCCTCCATCCTGGTGAGAGAATCAACCAGGCTTTCCTGCTACCAACTCCCTCCCATAATCAGGAAGCCAAATGTCACCTTCCCAAAGAAACTTTATTTTCACATAGCTGAAGTGCAAAACATAGATGACCATTTTTAATAAGCACAATCAAATTTTTAACCACAGAATGTCTACAAGAATTATAGCTTTAAAAAATACAACCAATTTTTATATTTCAAAAATATTTGAACTCAAATAAATTAATTTCTTAAAAAGTACACTTCTCATACTATGAGTTTGGCATTGACTCTGGTTAACTTGTGCAACACCTACGAGATGCTATCACACACGTGTCAGTCGCACTCCTGCACCAGCCACTGAAACGACTGCCGCTCACGTGGTGGTGGGGACTCACATTCACAAGACGGACAGGAACATGCAGTAATAAAATAGCTTTTTAAAAAATAACACATGAATTCATCACATAGGACTATGCTTTTCACTGCAACCTCGAAGGTGGCATTTATCTCAATCCAATCTGTGACTCCAGCTATTTAGTGACAGACAATATGGGTGAGGCACCCTGTGGTCCCACCTTGTAGGTGGCAGCCCCTGCACTCTGGGGTCTAGCTTGTTGGCGTTTGCTTTATTGTAGGTGGAGCAGCTGCTGCAGAATCTGTGAGTTGTGGGTGAAATACCAGTCCCTACATTTCTGCTGCCAAAGTGATCTTCAATTTAGGGGCCTGACCCCTCCGCAGCGGGAAACAAGCCATCTCCAGGGCTGTATGCAGCCTCCACTCCAGGGCGGCAGAATAGGCACTCCCAGGAAGCTGGACCCCTACCAACAGATTAATCAGCTGCAGAGTGCTCATCCCCATCTCCACACTCCCATCCCCTCCTGCTGCCTCCTCTTCACAACTTTAACCAAACCTTAATTACCTAAGGCCAGACTAGTTCAGGGCTCGAAGGAAAATGGGCTCAGGAAAACTTGGTTTGCCCAGCCCTGTCAGCCGAGATTGGTTTTGCTTTGCTTTCCAGCCAGAAGTAGAAACTTGCTTTTTCCTTTTTGCAGAGTTAAAACCGTATCTCCAGTTTTATTATGTTCCATCACAATATTGGGGCAAAACCAGAAAGGTGGTTGGTTTGCTTCAAAGCACAAACCCAGGCACTGTCTTCTGCAGTTTACCAGAAGGTGGGAAGGTAAAGGAGACTGCTCACCATAGGGGCTTAGCTCCTCCAAAGGCCTTGCACACCTTCTGATAACCCCCCCGGCTGAGACAGTGCTACCGGCTGTGCAAAGACAGGACAGCAGCACCACACACTGACTCAATGTGCAGTACCGGGTCTGGGCCACAGGGCATGTTCAGCACTGCGGGCAGCAGTCAGCGTATGCAAGACATTCAGTGAGCAGAGGGCTGCTCTCAGCCTCCAATTGCAGCCACCCTAGCACATGAGATGAAATCAGTGGGCCTTCCTAGGATTGTGAAATAGACTTGTCATTTGTGTAAGGTTGAAATCTACTGTACTTCGAATATAGCAACTGTTTTCAACCACTGAAGCAAAGAAGGTAAAGGCCAGATGGGGAATGAAAGGTAAGATACTGTGGTCCATTTCCACATTCGGGAGCAATGTGTGTGACTTCAACTGTTGGAGTAAATGATAAACGGAAAAGCCACAATTTCTAAAATCCCAAAGGAGTGACGTTCCTCGGGAAACAGGCGTAAGGCCACAGCTCAGGCTGATGTGTTCTTTGCGATATAAAAAGCTGTGGCCTGATCTCTAAAGTGGGGCTTCTGAAAATCACCAGTCCACAGCTACCTGCCTGGCTAGTTTCTTAACCTAGACTGCTTCAGAAATGGGGAGTGGGATAATGGAATGGAGGAATAGCTGACACAACTCAGACAACCAGGTTCAGTACCTGGGCCCTCAAAGCAAGAGAGGACTGAGGAAGTAGCAGGGACACTGATGTCATCTATTTTCTGGGAAGTGTTATTTTTAATGGTTTTATCAAAAACCTATTAACCTTCTACTGGAAAATACCTCAAATGAAAAAAACTTTTTTTTTTGGGATGCACTTTTTGCTCTTGTTGCTCAGGCTGGAGTACAGTGGCATGATCTCCGCTCACTGCAACCTCTGCCTCTGAGGTTCAAGTGATTCTCCAGCCTCAGCCTCCCAAGTAACTGGGATTACAGGCATGCACCACCAGGCCTGGCTAACTCTCTTTGTATTTTTAGTAGAGACGGGGTTTCACCATGTTGGTCAGGCTGGTCTTGAATTCCCTGACCTCAGGTGATCCACCCGCCTGAGCCTCCCAAAGTGCTAAGATTACAGGTGTGAGCCACTGTGCCCAGCTTCAAATGAAATTGTTGATGAGATTAGTCTCACTGTATAGGTCTCACCACCGAAGTTTAGAGATGTGAGACTCAGAGCAGGTTTCAGTTCCCCGGAATGGAGCAGGCATAGGGATGGGCAGGGCTTCCCAGTGTTAACTGCCTCTGCCCAAGCTGTGACAGTCCTAGAACCACTTCAAGATCCCTTTGAAAGGAAACATACTTAGCATTAAGTAATTCTTTGAAATTGCCACATTGAAAAGTTAGGTTTTTTTTGAGACAGAGTTTCGCTCTCGTTACCCAGGCTGGAGTGCAATGGCGCGATCTCGGCTCACCGCAACCTCCGCCTCCTGGGTTCAGGCAATTCTCCTGCCTCAGCCTCCTGAGTAGCTGGGATTACAGGCACGTGCCACCATGCCCAGCTAATTTTTTCTATTTTTAGTGGAGACGGAGTTTTACCATGTTGACCAGGATGGTCTCGATCTCTTGACCTCATGATCCACCCGCCTCGGCCTCCCAAAGTGCTGGGATTACAGGCTTGAGCCACCGCACCCGGCCTTGTTGAAAAGTTTGTTTTTAACTCAAATATAAATCAGAGAGCTCACACACTAGTCATGAAGCCATCTTTACTTAATGAAGAACCACCTTGAGGGAGATTGCCCTGCTTGTTGCTTCTATGGCTGTCCCTGAGACAGTCTGTTCTGTTCACACCCCAGCAGCCTCTTGCCTTAGGTCTCAGGACCTTCTGAGCCACCCTTGAGGATGTGTGCCACCAAATACACCAAGTGGACTTCACTTAGGACCACTAGAGTGCAAAGCTTCAGCTTCTAGAAGTCCAAGTGTGGCTGCAATTCATGATCTGCCCCGAACTCATCAGCCTTTCCCAAGTTTCCTAGGTGAGAAGAGTATGAGCTGTGAATTTCTGTGATGGTGTGATAGGAATGCCACAGTGGTGGTGCCAATGATCACTTACTGACCTTCTTGCTCAGAAAAAATGTTGCACAGTTATGGCCTTGGAGGCATAAGTAGACAGCAGTTAGCCAGCCAGTAAGAAAACAAATCAGCATCCAGAACAGGAGGGGAGGGAGCCATAACAGATAAGGGAGTCCACGATGAGAAGCAGGCTCCCTGCACAGCCTGCCTCTAGTGCTAGTAACAGACGTTTCACATTTAAAGCCTGCCAAGGCATCGCTGGCGACTCTCCCGTCTGTGAACATGCACAATGGGCACAGGTTCAGAGAACTGATGAGATGTAGGCAGCGCCGTCTGCCACAAAAGGTTCTCCATGGCAGCCCCAAGAACAAAATCACACACCTCTGATGGGAGCAAGGACCCTGAACAGAAGCCAATGGCTGGAGCCAACAGGCCATCCCCTTACATCGAGGACTTGAACTAGGGGGCAACCACTGGAGTGACGTGATACAAGCCTTCTTTGGTCACTCTCAGCTTCCACCAGGGGTCTCTGCCTCTTTGATGAGAAGAGAAGCTGGCTGGCTCTGATGACCTCGAGGGTGTTCTACAGGCGCCAATAGATGCATACCCAGGGCTGATTCAGGTCCATTTCAGCACAATTTTTGTGGAACAAATTAAAGAAGCAGTAATACCCAGAACTATCCCCACTTAGGAAATAAAATTTTCAAGGCTGCAAGAAACCCTCTGTCTACAAACCAGTGGCCATTGCCTAAGGAGGCTCAAGAAGGGCAGGGGATCACTATCAGTGGGACAGGTGCTGGAGGAACCAGGGGGTGTCTCCTTTCTAGTCTCAATTGTCTTCAGGAGGATGACTCAACTGGGGACGGCCGTGAGCTGTGGTGACTGAGGTGCACACAGTCTCCCAGAGGCAGAACCTGAAGAGTACCACGTGGGAGCTCGTCCAGGAAATCCATGCCATCTGAGTTCTCATTGGCCAGGCCAACCACCTGCACCAGCTGACTGAACAGAACTGTGCTGTCCCATGCCCACGAGACCCAGTGAGAGGTAGTGAAGTGGTTGCAAAGGTTTGCGTGGGTGGGAGCTGGAGTATGGCCTCCGCCATGTTCACTCGGGTCTGCAGACCTTCCTGATGAGAATACTCAGTGCTCATGTGCTCTGGCCGGCAGGAACTGCTGGGCCGCTTCACACTGGGACTACTGAACGCTCTGCTCATTCCTGACGAATAAGCATGGGGAGTGAGTCCCAAGGCCCGCTCATAGGCATTTCTCACCCTGGTAAGGTGGCAAGAACAGGGGACAGGGTGCTGCTCATGCTCTGTGGCCCTGAGGCCCAGAAGGTTGCATGTTTCCCATGACCCAGACAGTGGCAGTCTTTCTCCCTCCCACTGGCTGGTCCAGGGCCTCCCCTGGGACAGTGGGCTCCAGGAGGCCAAATAAAGGGTTGCGCCTGGGTCAGAAGGTGGCGATGGGTGTTCTGCCCTCCTGTTTTCCACCAAACTACGACAGTTACCCAGCTACCACCCTCACTCATTTTGCCACTCAAGTGTCCAGTAATGCTGAATACGGCCCGTGTGCTCCTCCCATCAGGCTTTGGCCTTCCTGCCCTCACCCTGCCCCACCAAGGGACTGGTGGCTTCCCTTCTGCTCTGGCTGCCAGTCCTCAGAAAACCAAGGCCCGCTCCACATCCAGGGGCCGCTCTTCACCAAGGAGCTGAATGTAGCTATCACCGTCCCTCCAGATGCCTTTAGAGGGAGCCAGGCTCCACTTCTGCCCACGTCCAACTTGAAAGCTACCAGGAACCATGTGGGAACCATGCTGCCAGACACCAGAAACCTACAGTCCAGCTCAGGTAACTGGTCATACCAACCCCTCCCCTCCCCACACCCTGAGTCACAGGTCTTGGTCACAGTGGCTGGGACCGACCTCAGATTTTATACAAAAAGCTGGGGACATAGTCAAACCTGAGCATGGGGTGGCTGGTCCCTGGAGATTCCTGCATGTAGTGCAGCTTCAGCAGCTCAGCCAGGTACTGGACCACCCTGACATCCTCATTCACCAGACCCAGGGTCAGCTTTAGGAAGCTCGCCTGGCGGCTGGCTACCAGCTCCTCTGTTTCCTTGTCATGGGTAGGCAAGTGCAGGTGGTGGCAGAAGGTGTAGAGGAAAGCCTTGGAGCAGAGCTGGGTGAGCATGCTCTGGACATGCAGGTAGTAGGTGCTGCCTCGTTTGATCTGTGTGCGGTGGTCTGCCAGGCGGGGCACCAAGGTGCCTCTGTAGAGGGGGCAGCGCAGGGTTTTGTTGTCAAGGTCCAGGATGCTCGTGTAGCGGCTGTAGCGGCTCAGGGCATGGAGGGTACCGGCACCAGCAGGTGAGGCCACTCTGAAACATACAGGCCAAGGTCAGGAGGAGAGGCAAGGGCCGGGAAAGTGGAGGCAGAAGCTTGGGAGGTGAGGCGTCCTGTCCCCAGGCCAGCACCCACCCAGCCAGCATGAACCAGCTCTTCCTGGAAGGCAAATCTGATCATCATGGTCTTCAAAGGGCTCCTCACCACTCTCGGGACCAAAGTGACCCACAAGGCCCTTTGTCCAATTCCTGTGGAATGGACTCTCTTTTGGAGCCATGGCAAGCTTTCAGTGGACCCTTAAAATTACAAACCTCTTTGTTCTGCCTGAAGTACCGGCTCCCTCTTGTACTTAGCTCAACTTAAACCATATTCAGCCTTCCCTGATCTTCTCTGATTTCCTGCTGTGACCTTGGCCAAGTTCCTTAACCATTCTGAGCCTCACCTATGAGATGGAGATAACAGTTCCTACTATTTTTATTTATTTATTTATTTAGAGATAGGGTCTTGCTATGTTGCCCAGGCTGGAGTGCAGTGGCATGATCATGACTCACTGCAGCCTTCACCTCCCGAGCTCAAGCAATTCTCCCACCTTGGCCTCCCAAGTAGTTGGGACTACAGGCGTATGCCACCAAACCCAGATAATTTTCTGTAGAGACGGAAGCTTGCTGTGTTGCTCAGGCTGGTCTTGAACTTCTGGGCTCAAGTGATCCTCCTGCCTTGGCCTCCCAAAGATTTGGGATTTCAGGCATGAGTCACTGTATGGACCAGTTACTACTATCACACCCCTCATGGGGTGGCTGTGGAGACAAAATGAGTTGTGTTTATGATAGTGCTGGCCCTCAGTGGGCACTGTCATCACCATCACTACTTTCAGCCTAGCAATGACCAGTGGGGTGACTGCTGTTTGTTCACTGGCTTCTCCCACTGGACAAAGAAGCTCCTGGATTCTAGAGTCCCAGGACTGCGTCATTTCATGCCCCCAATGCCTGGCATATCAGAGCCAGGAAAAGCCAGTGTTCACTCAGTGAGGGAAGCAGTTCCTTAAATACACTCCCGGAGCAGCTTCCCCAGAGCAGCAGGGACTGCCCTGTTAGAGCCTGGATATTTGGGGCTTATGTCAGACAGGTATTGTGTAAAAAGGACTGACGGTGACTTGGGACCAAGGTAATCTAGTACTTTTTCCTTCCTGGGTTTTATCTTCTTGTGTATTTAACAATCATTTACTGAGCACCTGTAACATCCCAGCATTGCTCTGGGAGCTAACCCTGTAATGAAGAATGACCTGGAACTCCTGTCCTTCACAAGCTCAGTTTGATTAGGAAGAAAAGAAATGTGCACAAGTACAGCAAAGTGAAGGGAGATGTGGTCTCGTTCTCCCTGAGAGAGGCCGTAGTTGGGAAGATCTGGGGGGTTCATGGGGTTGCCTTAGAGCGGGCCCTTAGAAGCAGCGTGGGCTCTAGGGAGTGAGGGTGTAGGAGACCATGGCAAAAGCCAGGTCACAGAAATGGGACAGCTGAGACACAAAGGCCATGCATCCTGACCATAGTGGCAACACTGGGTTATGGACTGCACGCATCCCACAGGCGTGGAAGAATTGGGGCCTACAAGTGGCTGACATCTAAGAAAACTCACGATGGCAGTGAGACGCTCTCCTCAACCCATGCTGTGGGGTCCCCTGTGTTCCGGGGCCTTCTCAGCTCTCTACTGCCTTCACTCTTACTTCCCCAAAGTGGGGCTGTCCAGAGTCAAACACCTCCCAAGCTCCGCATATCCAGTTCCACAGGTGCTGCCTGCCACAGGGCACCCAGGCTCACCTCCCACTTTTTGCGCCTCTATCACTGCTGGGACACCTGCTCTCAGGCCCAGAATCCCTTGATGCAGCTCTGACACCTGCCCCAATGGTAACAACACTTCTTTTGAAAGAAGCTGGCTATTCTAACTGTTCCTCCACTTGTTTCCATAAAGCTCCTCCTCAGGAGGCCAGATGACATGGGAAAACACAAGCCCCAGGCTTCCAGCCCCCAGGTGCACAGCACCCCAACTGCAGCTTCACACTGCACTTCCCACCCCTGCCACAAGGTGGACACCTCTTCACTGATAAGGACACAGAGGACTGGATGAGGCGGTGGCTTTTGCAAGGTCACCTAGTTAGCAAGTGGCCAAACCAGGACTCAACCCAGGTCCTCTGACACATGCTAGGCTAGCATTTTCTCCTGACAGAAGCGAGCTCTGCTTTTCAGTCTGGGCTTGTGACTGCTGCTTAGTAAGCAATATGATGATCCCTGGTGTTCACTTAAAATGACAGTGGGGCCAGGTGTGATGGCTCACGCCTGTAATCCCAGCATTTCGGGAGGCTGAGGTGGGCAGATCCTTTGAGACCTGCCTGGCCAACATGGTGAAACCCTGTTTCTACTAAAAATACAAAAATTAGCCTGCCATGGTGGCAAATACCTATGATGCCAGCTACTGGAGAGGCTGAGGCACAAAAATCACCTGAGCCTAGGAGGCAGAGACTGCAGTGGGCCAAGATGGCATCACTGTACTCCAATCTGGGCAACAGAGCAAGACTCTGTCTCAAAAAAAACCCCACAAAACAAAACTCCACAAATGACAGGGGACCAGCTTGGCTGTTTAGGCATCTCTTGTCCCCACAGATAGCTGAGCTGACTACAAGAATTTCCAGGCAGAGTGAAAAAAATCAAGGGCCAGCAAGCCTGGTGGTCTGAAGTGAGGCTCTTGAGAGCTAGTCCATCATCTGAGGAGGGGCCTGGGTGAGGAGAGACACTTCTGGGCTGTGGTGCTCGGAGTGCAGGGCCTCTGCAGCGCAACACCTTCAAGGACAGGAAGGTCACAACCAGCCAAGACATCTCTCCTGCTTGTGATTTTTAAAGGCAGGCCTCAGGTGGGCCCCAGTCTGCCTGCCTGTGTCAGTGCCAGTTCCGCCCTCCGAGTGCTTCTCAGGGCCCAGCACTGCACTGGGCTGTGGTCTTTGGACATGCACTAAATGTGGACCCTTCCGATGGCCTCGCGAGCCCTTCAGAGGCGTTCAACACGATTTGATGACTGAATGAATGAGAGGAGATGGCTGGTCCGAATGCACACAGCGAGTGGTGGCAGCACCAGGACCTGACCCAGACCACCCATTGCTCCCACTAACTGCCACAGCCCACAACAGTTTCATCTTATGATACCTGCAGGTGGCATCTACTGCTCACCTCCCTCAGGAATTCTTTGGGTGAGCTGTAGCCCATCCCATTCCACTTCTGGCCCCTCAGTGAACCCTCCAAGGTACAGGGCTCCCCACCCCTGCCCACCTCACCTCATACCTGTGCAGGACACCGGAGGCAGATGCTCCCAGTGCCCAACATCTGCACGTGCTCTGAAGGGTGAAGGAGCACTTACTGGGAGAGCAGCCTAATGCCTTTCCCCCAGTGTCATCTGTCCCTTCTGATGGGCCTTCTGCTTTTACAGATGGATGCCTCCTGCAGTCTGGCTGGCGAGGGCCACAGATAAATTCCATGTCCTAACTCACACCAACCGAATCAGAACCTCGAGGGGTGTGACTCAGGAATCCATGATTTTAAAAACTTTCCCTAATAATTCTGACACAGCTGGGGGACAGACAGGGATTGGCAACCACCTAGGAACTCCAACCCCCTCACAGGACAGACAAGGAAATGGAAACCAGAGAAGGGAATGATTTGCCAAAAGTAACACAGTGGTAAGGACTGGGCCCCATCTAGAAGCCAGGCCTCCTGATTCTGGCTCCACCACACCAATATGCCCCATCTGTATTTGGCCAAGGCCCTTCCCCACCACCTGGAACCAGTTACCTCTGCAAACCAATAAGCTTCCACTTCTGAAAATCCATAATGTGCAAAGGGGAGGAGGCCCAGTGTTTCACCGGCTTAGCGTAGCAGCCATAGCTGGGGACAAAGATGGCCAGTGCAGTCACCAGCTTCCTGACTATGGCCTCATCTTCCCCCAAGACCACGAGTGTCCTCCCGCTGAGCAGGGAGTAGATGGCTGGGTGGGCAAAGGGGTACTGGCGGATGAATTTTAAGGCATTCTGGCCAGCCCTCTTTTTATGCCTATCGGAAGACAGGCCGGCAGGATGAACAGAGGGGATCCTGTCCGAGCTGGTGGAGGCGACACTGCTCACGTAGCTGGTGGTGTCTGAGTAGTTGTCCAGGCTGGTCTTACTGATGTCCCGGCTAGCCAGCAGATGGCTCGGGTCCAGCTCATAAGCAGGAAAACCTTCATAACTATTGTCTTGGGAAGAAAGGTTGGCATTTTCCACTGAAAAGTCAACACGAAACCCCTGGTCCTTCTGCCTATGGCGCTGTGGGGGGATGCTCACGACTCCATCCTCGTCAGAGTGTGTATGGGCTGGAGTGGAGGGCAGCACCAGCTGACCGTCATTCTCCTTCCCAATACAGCAGGAGGAGTCTATTTGTGATGGAGCGTTTTCCACACTGCCCTCCTCTGTCTCACCCAGCTCCGGAGGGCTCATGCTTGCCTCGAAGTGGATGGCTCCCTCATTGTCTTCTGCATATGATTCTTCTTCATTAATGGCACTTGGGTAACTGGCCTTAAAGTCATCAGGGATGAGCGCCTCAGAGGGGCAGGTACTGAGGACTTCAATACTGTCCTCGCTGATGGTCCTGTGGCTGACTGCTTTACTCCGAACCACCTGGGGGCTCAATGGTACTGTGAGGCTGGCCTGGCTGTCAGACTTTGAAAGCACAGAGGTGGATTTCTCCGTGCCCAGGACTTCAATGCTTTCACCACTGCTGATACTCCCTTTCATATCCATATCCAGGTAGTCCAAGTTTTCCTGGGGGTCAAAACTGCTCAACTCTGTGACCTCCACTTCCTTGTATTCCTCATCTCCAAGTTCCTGCTCCATCTTGATCACCACAGACTCCACACTGGACTTGTAAGAACCAACACTAATTAACACTTTAGGAACTGGGCATTCTTCTAGAGACCTGGAAGGCGGCCTGTCTTGACTGGGCCTAGAGGGTAGGCTCTCTTGTTTCTCCACCATCCTGTCATCAACCTCCACAAAGTCTTCAAAGAGAAAGTTTGTTATGTGCTGTTGTTTTAGAAGTGCTCTATCAATCTGACTGGTAAGGAGGTAACACAGGTCACCTCTGAACATGTGCTCAATGTGGCTGAGCTGAGCCAAGGTCTGGGTGAAATATTCAGTGTCACAGAGCTCCTCTAAGGTCTTCAACTTCTTGTCAAAACACTTGGTGGACTTTGCTTTGATAAGTTTTGGGGTGTAGGCTGGTCTGCAGGTGTAAAGGTCAGTATCAGCAGACTCATCAGGGTTAGAGGTAGTGGACGCCTGGCTGGCCTGATCCTGGGTGTGCTCCATCTCACCAGGACACAAATCAGACCCCTTCAACTTCCGATGAGGGTATGAGCGGATCTGCTTCAGCAGGTCCTGATGTTCAATGATGGACTTCTCCACACTAGCCAGTTCATTGGCTTTCTCAATTGCCTGAGATGAGTAAAAGCCTTTGTCATTGGCTTTCTTCTGGATCTCTGTCTCTGTGTGCAGCACTGTCCTGGTGTAATCCAAGTCTTTCAGCTTTTTTTCAAGTTCCCCAGCAAATGCCTTCCTGTTCCCAGTCTTCAAGCACTCAGAAGCTCTGGAAAATTCGGCGGAAAGCTCTTGGAACTGCTGCATGATTTTATGCTGGTCTGCAGAGATATAAGCCATGCAAAAGGGCCTCACGAAGCCACGGGCCTCCAAGTCATATAGGGTAAGGTGGTGCACATATGCAAAGGCTCCCTCCTTGGAGTCTCCCAGCACCACCTTGGAGTCCTCCACGAAGTTCAGCTTGGGGTAGGCAGATCCAGGAGGATGGCCCACGAAGGAAGCCTGGTAATCCACAGACATGATACGCAGAGAGAAGTAATTGAGATCAAAGGTGCCAAAAACTTTGGTGTCATTGGGGATGGTCAGCAAGGGTTGGGGTCCCACCTGCTCAGAGAACTCGGAAATAAGAATGAAGTCCCTCGAGAACTTGGCCCCGGACAGTTTTGACCAGGGGTTAGCACCCTGGCTGGCGAACGGGAAGAGCGGCACAGAGTACTCCTCAGGCAGGGTCGGCTCATTGTAAGGCTCTTCCTCATATTCTTCCTCTTTGGTGAAGGCCACTACGTCAGGGGCGCTGATCATATTTCCAGATATATGAAGAAAACATTGAGAGGAAGTGGGAAAGAATGCGGTGTTAATCGACGCGCAGAAGGCGGGCCTACGGAGAGGAAGCGGAGCCCTTGCGGCCTTCTTTGCGACTCCCCCAACCCAGGGTCCTAGGCTGCTTCTCACACACCCGAGGACTCGAACTCTAGCCGCCCCCTCAGAATTGTAGCTCCTCCGGAGCTCTCGGAGGCCTCATGAACGCCAAGGCCGCAAACCCAACTGCCCTTTTCTTCCTCCGGCGAGCGCGGCCAGCACAAGAAACCTGCAGCGAGGTCACCTGCACTCCCTGGAACCCACCGCGACAGCAACAACCCGGGCTTTGAACGAGGCTTAAAGCGAGGCTACGGGCCGCCGCAGGGGTCAGCCAAGCGCTGCCGTCCCCTACTGCCGGAGGGCAGAAACCGTCGCGACTCGTAGGACGCCACAACCCGGATCCAGCTACTGCGGCGCCGCCATCTTGGTATCACATGACTCCTGGACTCGGCGCCCCGTGACCCGGAAGCGTCCTCGTAGACTTCCGAGCAAGAGAAAAAAAAAAAAAGTCGTGAGAAAGAGAAGGCCTTAGATGGGCGTGTCCGGCGTCTCCTCCGGAGAAAGAGTCAGATGAACCAACAACTGCCCGGAAGGAGGGGAAAGCGGGGCGGAGTGACGTGGGGGCGTGCTAGGGGGAAACGTGCTTGGACTAGGGGTCAGGAGCGCCGGCCAGTCTAGGAGTTGTAGTTCCAGGTCGTTGTGAGGCGCGCGCCTGGAGGAAGTGGCTGGAGAAGGCGGGCGGAAGCTCCAACCAAGGTACTGGGTTCGGTGCTGAGGCGGCGGCGGCACGGAAAAAGCTCAGTGACTGAAGCTCCAAAGGCCAGCAGGCTGGTGGGACGTGACCGAACGGAGGCTCTAGTTCCCTTCCTGTGGGTGCCAGGTGGGCCTCGCCTTTGCCCTCCCCGGGATGCGCCGGCACCTGGGAAGCGGCTGCGGGCGCGAAGCCTAAGGATGATCTTCCCTGTCGCTCGCTACGCGCTCTGGTGTCTGAGACGGCCCGGAGGCCGTGCCTTTTCCCGCGCCGCCATGGAGGTGGCCCTCCGAGGGGTGCGGAAAGTCCTCTGTGTGGCCGAGAAGAACGACGCGGCCAAGGGGATTGCCGATCTGCTGTCCAACGGTCGCATGAGGCGGGTAAGAAAGCGCGTGCCTTAATGGAGGCCCAAGGAGCGGGACAGCGTGGTGGGCGCCGGGAATCGAGATGAAGGCGATTATCTCCCATTTCTCAGGCCTTACCGCCCCTCGTCTGGACTATTGCAGTGGCCTCCTGTCTGCTCTGGGACTGGAGTGCATTTTAAGACGTAGTGAAGGTATTTCACTCATTTGCTTGGAAAACTTTTGTTTTCTTTGCCCACAGCAGGTTCCCAAACTTGTCTGATTCTCGGAACCGCCGCGGGCACTGGTTGCCCTTTGGATTTTGGGTGAGGCTGGGGAAGTCTGTGTTTTAATATTCTTCCCTCGAGATTCAGAAATTCAATTGGGAACTACTGTCCAGATTCCCTTAACTTGGCGTTCAAGCCCTGCCCGATCGTTCCCCAGCCAACCTAGCCCTCCCCATCCTGTGCCACATCCGCTGCGTCCTGCAGCCCTTGCGACTTTCCAACCTCGCAGTGCGTACTGACAGCAATACGCTAAGGTTTGGGGATTAGAGATGAAGTCATCCCTGTTCCTACCCGAATGCACTGATTCTGAATAAGTGTTAAGAATGTGTTCTGCCCACACGGGAGGCACAAACACAAAGGAGGTTACGAAAAAGTTTCATAAAGGAGGTGACACGGAGACATAAAGAGCTGTCCAGGAAAATATCTCAGATGACAAAATTAGACCCCGAACTGGTTTTCTGGAGAACTTTTCTAAGCACGTGGGTGGAAGTTCCGTGCTTGTTCTTTTTTACAGTTCCTAGGGTCTTAAGACTTGATTCCAGTTCAAGGATAGTCGGAGTGGAGCCAGGGTTGTGTGAATGCTGACTGAGAGCTTTTCCTCTTTCCGGTACTAGAAGTCCTGCTGACCCCCCCCAAGGTTTGTCTACGGGCTCTGGGCCTCTTGAAAAATGGTCTTTCTACACCTAACTAACTTATCCTTAAAGGCTCTGCTGAATTCATTCTTGATCTTTTTTTTTTTTTTTTTTTTGAGACAGTCTTGCTCTATCAACAAGCTGAAGTGCAGTGGCGCGATCTCAGCTCACTGCAACCTCCGCCTCCTGGGTTCAAGCAATTCTCCTGCCTCAGCCTCCCGACTAAGTAGCTGGGACTACAGGTGCACACCGCCATGCCCACCTAATTTTTGTGCTTTTAGTAGAGTTGGGGTTTCATCATGTTGGCCAGGATGGATCTCTTGACCTCATGATCTACCCACCTTGGCCTCCCAAAGTGCTGGGATTGCAAGCATGAGCCGACTTGCCGAATTCATTCTCACCCCGCTACTTTTTTTTTTTTTTTTTCGAGACAGTCTTGCTCTGTTGCTAGGCTGGAATACAATGGCACGATCTCGGCTCACTGCAACTTCCACCTCCCAGGTGCAAGTGATTCTCCTGCCTTAGCCTCCCAGGTAGCTGGGACTACAGGCGCCCGTCGCCAGCCGAGCTAATTTTTTGTATTTTTAGTAGAGAGGGACTTTCACCATGTTGGCCAGCATGGTCTTGATCTCTTGACCTCATAATTTGCCCACTGAGGCCTCCTAAAGTGTTGGGAGTACAGGTTTGAGCCACTGCGCCTGGCCTTTTTTTTTTAAAATCCAGGGGTTTTGTGTTTATTTATTTATTTTAACCTATCATGCCATGAGTCCATAGGAAATAGATTCCAGTGGCTCAACCTCCTTTCCATTGGTTCTCACAAATTATGCTTCCCTCAATGGAACAGGCTGGCACTTCAGTTGAGCCCTTTCTCTTTGTCTTGTTCCTTTTTTCTTTTTCTTCCTGGAAGATATCACACTAATCCATGACTTGCTTCTTTTTTGATCATTTTCCTTCACACATTTCAGGAAGGATCTTGGCTTTTATAGTGCTTAATATGCTCAATAGGAACATTAATTCTCTTAATTAATGTAAGAATCTATCCCTTGTTTGGTCATAGCAGTGCCAACAGCATGCTGGGTAACATAGACTTTTCTTGTTCTGCCATGTAACATTTATGGGGCATTCTTTTTTGTTCTTTTTTTTGGGGGGGGGGGTGTGATGGGGGCGGAGTTTCGCTCTTGTTACCCAGGCTGGAGTGCAATGGCGCAATCTCGGCTCACCGCAACTTCCGCCTCCTGGGTTCAGGCAATTCTCCTGCCTCATCCTCCTGAGTAGCTGGGATTACAGGCACGCACCACCATGCCCAGCTAATTTTTTGTATTTTTAGTAGAGACGGGGTTTCACCCTGTTGACCAGGATGGTCTCGATCTCTTGACCTCGTGATCCATCCGCCTCGGCCTCCCAAAGTGCTGGGATTACAGGCGTGAGCCACCGCGCCCAGCTGGGGCACTCCTTTTTGAACAGTATCCATTCTCACGAAGTCCTCAATATCACCTTCACTGTAGATTCTGGTGTGTGTGGCCAGAGGAACTCCATTTTTTATTTTTTGAGACGGAGTTTTGCTCTTGTTGCCTAGGCTGGAGAGCAATGGCGCAATCTTGGCTCACTGCAATCCCACCTCCTGGGTTCAAGCAGTTCTGCCTCAGCTGCCCTGGTAGCTGGGACTACAGGGGCCTGCCACCATGCCCAGCTAATGTTTTATGTTTTTACTAAAGACAGGGTTTCACTGTGTTGGCCAGGCTGGTCTCAAACTCCTGACCTCCGGCGATCCACCTGCCTCAGCCTTCCCAAAGTGCTAGGATTACAGGCGTGAGCCACTGCGCCCAGCTTGACCTTTATGTTTTCTCTAAGGCCAGGAAAACATATATGAGATACCTTGTCTTCTTTTCCTTTGAGTTCGTCATTTTGGCAAATTACTGTAAGATGGTTATTCCAGCCAAAAGAAAAGACTTTTCTTGGAAGGAGAATTTTTATTTTTATATAGAGAAAATGCAACAGTGTGTATTTAACCCAGTTTAGTGGCAAATTCTTTAGCCTCTGCCTTTTCTAGGTTGGCAATGTAAGCTACAGATTTTGGACCTAGGGCATTGCCTCCCCAGTGACAGCAGATCTCATATGTTGTTGTAATTGGTCCTGATAGTTTTTACCAGCTTAGCCAGTTCTCCTTTGTCTTCCAGAAAGTTAACCTGCGTGAAGGGGACAGTGGTGCAGGTCCTCCTGTGGAACTAGATGCCCAGGTCTTGACAGTGCAGTAAAGAATCCCCATCTTAGGACACAGGGCAGGCAGGAAGACAACCAGCTCAGTAGTATCCACCACCAGCTGACCCTTCATGTTCTCTACCAAGTTGATGACAGTGTCAAACCCTGCTCAAAGTGTAGGTGGTCTCTTAGTGAGGACATCCCCTTTGCCAGCAGCTTTCTTCCCAGCCTGGGCCAACAGTTTCTGCCTCTTTCCTTGTTTTGTCTCTTACCTGTATTGAGGGCCAGCTGAAGCCATTGAATAGCTGGTCTGTACTGTGGACCAGCTTAAACAGTTGAGTAGCTTAAATTTGGTAGTCTGAGGCCTGGGTGAACTAGTCAATCCCAGGTGGCACATCACCTGCTTCTACAGGACAGCAGCTCTGCCACTGCAGCCAGTTATAGCGGGACCATTTGACAAAATGGGTGAGGTCCCTTTTAGGCTGGATATCCAATGCCAGAATTCTTAGGGCTTTTCTCAAATAGGATTTACCACCTTACTGACCTGCTGCTTCGTAACAATGGGACAGGGCCACCTCCTTCCCCTTGGCCTTCTTTCCTTTCAGCATCTTGGGCGGCTAGAGGAGAGAGGCTGCTTAAATGTCTCATCTTCAAGGAATCCTTCCTTCACTACCTCTTCCTCCACACTAGGTCAGAGACCCTTTCTGATATGCTGTCATAGTACTCTTCTACTTGAAAGGCACCTACTAGTTACAGTTAAATAATGTGATGTACACTCATTTATTTGATTTCTGTCACTGCCTCTCCTTGGACCCTACACTCCAAAGGGCAATGATTATGTTTTGTTAATTGCTATGTCCTAGTGCCTAATATAGTATCTGGAATGCAGGAAACTTGCTTTTTTTTTTTCTTTTTTTGGGATGGAGTCTTGCCCTGTCACCTAGGCTGGAGTGCAATGGTGCGGTCTCAGCTCACCTCTGCCTTCCAGGTTCAAGAGATTCTCCTGCCTTAGCCTCCCAAGTAGCTGGGATTATAGGCACGTGCCACCATGCTTGGCTAATTTTTTGTATCTTTAGTAGAAATGAGGTTTCACCATGTTGGCCAGGCTGGTGTCCAACTCCTGACATCGTGATCTGCCCACCTCAGCCTCCCAAAGTGCTGGGATTACAGGTTGAACCACCGTGCACGGCCAGGAAACTTTTTTCTTTTTTATTTTTTTTTGAGGCAGAGTCTTGCTCTGTCACCCAGGCTAGAGTGCAGTGATGCTATCTCGGCTCACTGCAACCTCTGCCTCCCAGTTTCAAGTGATTCTCCTGCCACAGCCTCCCAAGTAGCTGGGATTATAGGTGCCTGCCACTGTGCCCAGCTAATTTTGGTATTTTTAGTAGAGACAGGGTTTCGCCATCTTGGCCAGGCTGGTCTCGAACTCCTGACCTAGTGATCCACCTGCTTTGGCCTCCCAGAGTGCTGGGATTACAGACATGAGCTAATGTGCCCAACCGAAACTTTGAATAAATATTAATACTTGTTGGGCTGGGCACAGCGGTTCATGCCTGTAATCCCAGCACTTTGGGAGGCCCAGGCACACAGATCACCTGAGGTATGGAGTTTGAGACCAGACTGGCCAACATGACGAAACCCCATCTCTACTAAAAATAAAAAATTAGCTGGATGTGGTGGCAGGCACCCCTAATCCCAGGTAATCGGGAGGCTGAGGCAGGAGAATCACTTGAACCAGGGAGGTGGAGATTGCATTAAGCCGGGATTGCGCCACTGCACTTCAGCCTGAGCAACAGAGTGAGACTCCATCTCAAAAAAAATTAATACTTGTTGAATACATGTTTGAGCTGAGCCTGAAAGTTTTTTGCTTTTGGGTTTTGGGGGTTTTTTTGTTTTTTGTTTTTGAGATGATATTTCAGTC